GTTAAGTTTTGGTTATGCAGTCTGGACAGAAAAGCAAGTCATGCACTGAACAGTCCCTGTTATAATAATGCTGCAGGTCATGCAACCACATCACTGCAAATAAAAGAATAAAGAAGAAAGTTAAAAAGCAGATAACATATTACTGTTGAAAAAAAAAACAATCAGAGAATAGAACAGGTATTTTTCAGAGCAGTTTAGTAAGGCCGTCTCAAGAGTGGTGTAAATTCATGGGAAAACATTTTTGCCAGAGCAACTCTTCAAATTAACAGGAAGGTTATAGGCCAATAACTGGAAAAAGCAACAAAACAGCCTTGAGCAATATCTAAATTTAGCTGTAATTCAGACAAATTTAAACACTTCTGAGTAAAGTCCTTCAGGGCACCATTCTCAGCTACTACAGCTATGGAAACTAGGTTTATACAGCAATGGGAAAGTCTCAGGCATTCCTGCTGTCTGTGGGTACAACAGTTAAAGAACCAAAGCAATATAAAATGAAAGGTGCCTGTCCAACACTGCACGTGGTTACGTACGAAAAGACAATCAGGGTCACAATGACTGTCTGAGTCTTCCAGCTCTGAGCACCACTGAAGACTTTAGGCATTTATGTTTCATCAGAGCTCATCCGGTGCATGAGGCTACAACTCAGCATCACTGCTGTGCTGCACTGGCAAGTTCTGTTTACTGCAGGCAAATACAGGTTTGAATTGCAAGAAAATGATATGTACTCTTGTTAAAGTAAAGCTGAGTAGGAGCCACTGAGCAGCCCAAAGAGCACATCACAATGCTGCAGAAGTGAATCTAAGTTCGGAAGAGAATTGGAGAGGCTGATATATTTCTCCATCCTTACTGATGCACTCTCTTTCTTGGGCATTGTGACCAGAATGGAGTGCTTTACTGACATAGCCATGGTGCTTTCAGCTTCCCCAGGGCACAGATGTCCCTACACAGCATTGGCACAGCACTAAATGGGCATTTGGGTCTTCGCATTGCAAAGAGCAAACTGGCTTCACCAATGAGCCCATTTCTCTCCTCAGTTCCTTCTCCCTTGTATTGCACTGGTCATAAATGATTCTAAGAATGCTTCTAGTGATGGGAAAGTCCAGGTTAAATAGAGAAGAAAGAATATTTATGACAAAGCTGCTACAAGTCCTGCAGCTTGTGTATCCCTCTTTTTTTCCTTCTCATTCATCCACCCAGAACACTAACTACAGACGAGAAACAAACAGAAACATAGAAACATGTATCAAATGGAATAAAAAATTTAACACATTCAAAGCAGACCTTGAGGGTGTATTTTGAGCAATCGCTGTCTGTTAAGCTTGCTTGGCACTGCTTGGGTGCATAAAGTTATAGAGTTCAGGATTAATAATATGAAGATCACTGTAGTTATTCTACAAAAAATTATAAGTTCAAGCTACGTAAGCAGGTACCTATTCTATTGTGCATAAATGAATATAATCTACTCCTTTAGTCTCACCTGGCTATTATTTAGTTCAGACTTACTATTTAGTAGCACTTCAAGTGTCCTGTTGCACACAGGAAGTGACACTGGAGGTTTTTCTTCGAGTAAATAGTACTTTTGAGAGGTCTTGTAAACTCAGGACACTGTATTATCTTTCAAGGATGTAAAAAAGTCATCTGTCAGTGCCCTTTCCTGACTAAAAATTCTAATCTTGTTCTAAAAAAAGTTGGCTGTCAACTTCTTTCTCTCTATTTTAAAGCTACCTGTTGAGGCAGCAGCACTTCAGAAGACAAGAGATGCAAGATAAGGGTAAAATCACTGAGCATAACCTGTCACTGCATCTCCAGCATCTTCAGAAAGAGAGAGTTTATACAGCAGATGATGTGTGTCTATGGAGGAATGACAGAGAGAATAGAAAGCAACTACAAATTTTAAAAATTGTGGCTTTATAATGTAATCCTTATAACTATTCCAAAACTTTACCTATACTTCTAAATAAAAGCTTTAAAATCTCTCTCAAAACCACCGATGGCTCCAGGAAATAAGTTTACTCTCTGGCTTACTAACCTTTGGTGACTGAAAATAATAATCTCTTGCTTTACAAAATTTTAAATTACATAATTGATGTTATATTCAAATCCAAACAAAAAAATCTGATGGTCTCATTACAACTATTTTGTAGCCCCATAAATATTACACCATTTGGTATTTTTCTCTTAAAATCCTGATGATTTTCATGATCAGTCTAACACCACGAGCAGGGCAACAGAACAACTGGCCTTTAAGGCAGGTATAATCATTGGGAATTCAAGTTCCTTTTGGATAACAAACTGTTGTTCACCTGGGGAAACCCTTGCTCTTGCAGTGTTTCTGGTTTGTGCCATGCTATGGTAGGTTAACAGTTCCTCAAAGTGCTGGCAAATGACTGCTTTTGTAGCGACTAAAACAAGCCTGTTCCTCCTTCTGAAATATGCTATTCTAACTTCAGCCCTTTGCATTAGGACCTCTCTAACGCAAAACAATGAATAAAGTCACCACCAGAAAGGAGAGGCTTCCCAGTTGTCCTGGATTTCCCCCTACTAACAGTATTTTTCATGTTGTATGGATCAGTCTCTGAGATCCAAGTCAGCAGAACAGCAGCAAGAAATTTTTATCCAACAAATGGAATCTCCTTCCAGTCTGGAACTGACACACAGTGCAAAGGGGATTGAAGGATATTTAATTTTCCAAATGACTTTGCACACACAGCAAACAGCAGCAGAGGAAATTCCTGATTTGCCACCAGAGCCAACTAATACAGAGATATATTTCAAGATAGTCATTCCCTACCTTGGCAAGGCCCAAAGGTGAAGGTTACAATCTGGGCCTCAGTGCAGTTGACACCACCACCATCCCCTAGCAACTAACAGATGAGGACTTCAGCTGTAGCAGTTAGTATGAGTTCCTGCTGATCCACTGACTATAATCTGACACCAGGACAATTTGTCTGGAAAACTGGCTTGGCTATATCGCTGCCCCACGGGATTTGTCAAGTTTTCTAAAGCCCTTCAATCAACACTCATTCATTACCTAATTAAATGAGCTGATATATTTTAAAAATGAATTTTATGTCCCAATATTTTAATGAATCCACAAAAATAAAGTCAAGATAAAACAGAGGACAAAGCTAAGTCCTCAACAATTCCAAATGGTACAATGCAGCTGGCAGCAGAGTCAGAATTTCCAGGGTTTCACTGTACCAGATGCAAGAAGTTTGAGGTTGCTCTGGCTGACAATGACAGTTTCTGCCCTGATTAAATAATCAGTTAAAATTAAAAATTAATTTTAAAAAAAAAAAGAAGATAAAAACCTAGCTCAAAAAGCAAAGGTTCTCTCTCATTACTTTTAAAATTAACACCAAAATGCAAAATGGTGAAAAGATACACTTGTCTTCCCATTTTTGTACTAAACAGTTGCTTGCATCTGTCTCCTCCATTTTCAAACTGAAAAAAATCACACCTTATTTTCAGTAATAGCCTGCAGGGTCACTGACAAGCTTCTGCTACTTTTCCAGACTTCCAGAGGGAAGAAAGATCACAGGAGTAAGGCAATGCACATCATTCATGCCAAGATATTTTTTTGATTCCTTAAAAGTGACAAACGGGAGGCATGGCTGGGATCCTACCTCGAGTCTCGCGGCTGCTCCAAAAAGAACCCCCATGACTTGAAAGTATATTCTGACATAGTAAACTTTTTTAGCTATTTAATTATGCAATACCAGTCGAGGAAAACACCTGCAAAATTTGCTAAAATTGGTTTGGAGATATTGAAGCTATTCACACAATATTAATGCAAAACACGGAGTCCACATTCTACCTAAAACACGTGTGCAAAAACCCATAAGAAGTCAGTACTGCATAGCTGACTTTGAGTGCAAAAATACCTCCCTCATCAATCCTTGCAAAAAGTCAAAATGTTGGTCAAGAACAAAAAAAAAAAAATCCCTACACAATAAGTAAAATTCAGATCCTGTTTTGCTTCATAATAAAAAGAAAAGTTAGCCACATTCAGGACAGTCTTCCTCCAAATCACTAACAAGAAGGAAATCAAATGGTGACACCAAAATGTTTTCCAACTACCAAATCTACAAAAAATGTCAACACATCAGGACAATTAAACCCCTAAAAATCATCCATGAAAGGATGATTACATGTTTTTAAGTGTATAGTCTAATATACTAGAGGAAAAGCAAGAGCTACCTGCATATGCCAAAATACCAAGGACTTTAAAATACCAAGAATTTAAAATACCGAGGACTTTAAAATTGCCAAATCCTTTTAAATTTTCTTGACAGCTTGCACATACCACTTACTATTTAAGATCACCATAAAGCAGTAATAGGAATATTCACTGTTAATTCTTTCATACACAATGAATATAAAATTGCCAGTGTCCCTTACAGAACAGAAAGTCACAGAAAACTTGCAGAAGCATTACTGATAACTCAGGTGACACTGGAACAGGACAAGACTAGCATTTGCTTATTTTCAAAGACAGAATGAAAGGCATCCTGTAGCCATTACATATTTACTTAATTTTGCAATGTGTAAAGCTGTGTGCTCCAGACATTTGTTTTCCTTTGCACTGTGGGTGGAACACACAGCCTTTAAATTAGATTACTTCAATTTTCCTAGCACTTAGAAAATATGTGTTATGATCCAAGTGGCTATGTGTTGCTATCAAGAAAAGGAACTTGAATATTTTTTTTCTGTAATGCCTGATTAGATACACTAACAACTTAACTCCCCATAGAAGTATACAAACTGGACTGCACAGACATTCTTTAAGGTCAGAAACTAAGCTTCAGCTCTAAACAATGAAAATATTCATCCATTTGTCTGTTAACTTTTATTGGCATTAATTAAAATCTGTCAGAAATATTATTCTGGGCAGACCCTCAGCACAGTGCTCAGCAAAGTCCGCTCATGAACTCCTCAGCTGTTTCATCACTGCCCTAGAGAACCTTTTCTCTTCAAGCTCACTTGTAGGGGTTTTTTCCCTGTAGTGTATCAGGACAGGATATAGCATTGCTTTAGCAATTACCACTACAATTTTGATGTAAACAGTCTTTATTGCCTCAGGAAAAAAGTATCCCTAAAAACTTCCTAGAACTATCCAATGTACTGAGAGAATTCTGTTTCATAGCTTGGGTTTATTGCTTATATTCTTTTATTACTGAAGATAAGACAAATAAAGAACATTCACTGGTGGCTCACCTACATATGTGTTTATTCCCTGGAGTTACACTCTGAGCTTCTTCTTTTTCTTAATACCACACTACTTTCAAAGCTACATAACAAGCAAGGAAAATAATGAAACTTGAACCCTTCGAATAAAGAAGCTGTTCTTGTGAAAGAGGAGGTTTAATGATGTTTACCACTTGCATTCATTCACACCCAAAGATTAACAATGGATGTATGCAGCAAGTAACAGAATTAAAATGCTAAAGAATAAGGAATTAAATTCCTTAAGGCAGAACAAATGACTTACTGGAACTGGACAGCAACCAAGTATACTTCCTCAAGAGTGCAGTACATTTTTAGGTTTTTATGTTCAACAAAAATTCTGGGAAATACCAGAATTTCTGCAGGTTTGTAAATTCTCAAAAGACATAATGATTGTTCACTTGCCCAACAATCACTGTGGGCAACAGGAAAGCTCAGATTCAATATTAGTCTTTGATGCTACATAATGATGCTATATATTCTTGAAGGGAACTACAAAAAACACTTTAGTGTCTTATCTTAAGGGAAAAGGAAAGACAGAATCACAAAGCAGAAGAGAAAAGCCAACAACTGCCAAGAAGCAAAAGAAGCCATGAGAGATTGGAAAGTAAAAGCAAAAGACAAGGCCTCTAACCAGCATTTGTTCATCTCCTAACTAATCATCCAAACTTTGGAGGCAAAATGGTAAAACAAGTGTTAACAAAATAAAAGCAACTAGTTGTATTCTAGATTGCAGACCGTGTTCTAGTTATTTTAGACCTGAGCCTGATTAACAGCAATAGGGAATTAAATTATTAGACAAAATTAAGAGATAAAGCTTCCCGTTAAGGTCACATTCCTTTCTTTTACAAATAGCCTTTAGCAGTTTAGTAACAGAAAAAGCCAGACAGATTAAAATAAAAAGGAAGCTTTAGGTATTCTTAGGTTCTTTCTCTGATATAAAATGCTGTAATCTCAAACAAGAACACCAAATTCCCTCGGAGAACTGATCTTATTTGCTCCTGTTCACACACAGCATGAGGCAAAGAGTTCTTCAAATTACTAGAATACATTGCACAACCAGATCAATGAAAGATGTCCCACACAAACTGTAGCCATCTTGCCAGATAACACACACAGCATTCTGTATCTCAGTAAGAGACAGCAAAATGAGTATCACCTCACTGAGCTACAGAAATTGTCCTCAACTTCCTTCTCATTGTTACCTTCCTGCACACAAGAAACTTGCAATGTCTTACCTAATCCTTGCGACCACAGCCCAGACCTGTCATACCCTGAATAAGTAAAGAGAACTTTCAGAAAACCGTCTTTTTCCAAATGTGAAGAGTAAAGCTACATGCAATTAATAGAATTCAGCATCTGTTTCTGGGGGGGGGTGGATAACCAGAACTGAAAATTATTATCAGACACATACTGAATGTATTTCTTAGCCTAAATTAAAACAGATCATGTACTTGAGAATAAAGCAGCAGTACCTAAAAATGTTATTCACCTGTTTATTACCCTTTAATCTAGGTGTGCTTGTTTTAATTATCCTTTGCTCATTCTACCCAACTTGTGAATTAACATAGACATTCAGATGATTAATAAATGCTATTATGTATTTTCTCTAAAGGGATTTATAACAAAATGTCTTCACTTGGGAGGGTATTAAAATAAGATAAAAGAATAAACCAACTGCATGTGCATCAGGGTCCAAACAGTCTCTAAATGAAAACTATTTAAAACTAAATTACAACAAGATGTATGTATATGGAAGTTTCAACCAATATTCAGGTTCTCTGTGTCCAAAAATTCTTCAACAAAAGTGATAGGGAATGCAGAGAATTAGTCAGGGGAAAAAGCACAACTTTGTAGGAACAGAACCTAAATAGGAGGAACCTCCATCCACCCCACTGATGAACATGAAGGTACTACAACAATTAAGGAGCTACATACTCAAAAGGAAGTACAACAAATCACAGCCAGTTTCCAACAAAGTCAGCAACAAACTCACCTGAAGGCACTGGTACCATTAGTAAGGCAACTGATACAATTATCCCCAGAATCAATATATTAAAAGCAAGTATTTTAGTAGGGGATGACAACTGGAATACATTAACAATATTAATTGGGGCCTTGATCCATTATGTATTCCTCATCCATAATTATAAAATTTAAAACAAATGTCCTTTTTAAATGGATGATGCAGTAGCATATTAGAGCATTCTAAATATTTCTCCACTTTTTTAGAATATGTATTTAAGAGTACACTTGACCAAGAAGAGTGGAACAAACCATTTGAAAATATTCATCTCTACGAGCGAGAGGTAACACCAGTTGATAAAGAAAAACCTGAAAAAATCATCCTGCTTCCCTATCAAATGCCAAAAATAAGAAAAAACTTTGCATGTAGGAAATTAAAAAAAAAAAAAATCATTATTTTTTGCATTGGTAAGTTTTTTAGCAGGAAATACATTTCACAATAACATTGTATTCTAATTTTGCATTTCTGTACTGAGATTTCAGCATTTTTCTGAAGCAACAGGTTAGCACATGAAATAAAAAACCTAATTCCCTTTGAACAAGAACAGTCTTATATAAAGCATAGCAACCCTTATGGCACAAAAGTACCAACTGTGACAAGAAATTTACATTGTTACATGGTCCACATGAGGCTTTTCATAAGAGACCAGGCTTCATACAAATAAGACTGTTATTATACAGCACTCCTCTAGATGGTTTTAAAATTTTGGCACATTCAAAAAATGCAGAGAGAGAGAGAGAGAGAGATGGACTTCAAAAATATAAGCAAAGGGCATTACAGAACAATGAGAAACCATAATAAAACCCTTTCCTGAACTGTAAAATAATAGCAGTAACAAGGGAGAAAGAGAAAGGATGCTGGTTTATTTTCCTTGAATGTTGTCACTTGCAACAGAAGTGGCCTGGATCACAGGGCAGTTTTCTTTCTAAGGGCAAGGCTTCTCTACCTTGCTGTTGCTGGCTGAACATGACCAGGGTAAGATCTCCTTGTGCTCGTGGCTTGCCTTTGTCTAGCCAGGAAGGACTGTCCTGAGCCTGTACTAGCCAGTCTGTCTTCTGCTGCTTTTTTGTGCAGAGTCATCCCCTATGGACAAAGAGAAACTTCTCAGTGAACACCAACACATAACACTGAACAACTTCAATCATTTGCATTTTGTTTATTATCTCCTTCTTCACCAACCCTGACCACCTTGAATTCCATACACAAAGCACCACATTGTCAAGGATAAAGGTAAGATATTCTCCCCTAACACTTAGTGTGGAGTTCTTCCCCCTCCCTACCCCAGTCGTTGTCCTGGTTTAGAGCAATTGTCTAAGATCTCAATATATGGTTCTCCACATAAATTCATGGTAACCAGACAATTCTTTTCAAAAGGGCTCCCCCTATCCCCGGCTTGTTTAGCATGTTGAGCTAGAAAAGTACTTTTCCTCTGAAAATAGTTTAGGTACCATCATCCCCTTTGAAAATACCAGCTCATATGTCAGGAGCACATCTTGAGAGACAGTAAGTTTTCATGAGGCATAAATGCAAGGAGGAAAGCTGTGATGGCTTGTGCAGTTGGGTATAAAAGCAGAGGCTAATTAAAGGCTTGACACAGACAAAGCTATCAGAGATCATCTCAGTGTTCATGACAGGTCACTGAACTGCAGGTCTTAGCTCAGGCTTGTCTCCTACTTGTCAGTGGGACTAAGGTTATAAAATTGACACTAGTCATCTGAACATGCCTTCAAGTATGTAAACAATTCAAGCACTCTGCTTTTGGGCTTGCCATTCATGGACATAACAAAGATGCAGAACAGCAAGAAGGAAACTCTTCCAAAGGAATACAGAGAGGAGGAATTTGAATGTGTAACATGGAAGTTACACAGGTCGAGTCTTTCTATATGAAGAACAGTTTCAATGCAATGAGTATGCGAAAGGGAAGTCCTGAACACATTTGATGAAGGTGACAACTCTCCCAGCATACAGGCCTAGCAAAAGCTGTATGGCTGCACAGGTCACCTCTTCTATTCAAATTTACTGTTTGAATAATTTAGGTGAGGGTCTTGCTGCTGTCCTCAGCATCTGTATGTGGCTAAACCTGCTGTGAAGTTAAAGGGGTCATTTCTCAGAGCACTTACTGCAGCAAGTAAGCTGAACTGCTTTGACAGTGCCCCTTCATTAAAAACAGTGAAGAATCAAAGAAGAAAGTAAATTTGAGCACTGTAATTTTGTGTAATTGAAGGTCTGGGATTACAGAACAGTGATCTGAGCCATTTCTGATTTTAAAACTTGAAAATTACAAGCAGGTTCCTTTTAATTTACCCCAAGGTTATCACAGGAACATACTCTTATGCAGTGATAGCTTAAAATTACTAAAAAGCATTTGTTTCCGTGTTTGTGTGTTGGAAAATGCCTTCCAACCAAAATTACTGTCAATGAATGAATACTGTTATAAACAAGCCATAAACAACTAATATTAACATCTTCTTTCCTCTTTTTTTTTTCAAATAAAAAGTTTGGGAGATTCTTACCATATTGTACCAGGCACTAACGATAAATTTTTCCTCCATTTCTCTTTGACTTTTTGTTTTCTCGTATTCTTTCTACAAAACATAAAAAACCCATAGATTTAAAACCAAGGTATAATAAAAGTGTTAGTCTCTAACTAAAAAACAATGATCATCTACCACAAAACACAAGGATTACTACCTCCAGAGAATGAAACATTCTGTCCCGCTCCTGCAACTGATTTTTCAGTGCCTGAATCTCAGGAGCAGCACCCTGGTTCTGTTTAGGATCTAATGTGCGGATGACCTGTAAAAGAAAACCAGTTGTCTTTCATTAAATCCTGAAAAAGCAATCTTGTTAAGGATTAAGGACCTTTTAAGTCAGGTTAAGAAACAAAAAAAGTGACTTAAAACACATCTACTTCTCTCTTTAACCACGATGCATTAGAGCATCTGAGGAATTTCTTCATGGAAAGAGTTGTTAAACATAGGAACAGAGTGCCCAGAGAGGTGGTGGAGTCACCATCCCTGGAAGTGTTCATGAAACAACTGGACGTGGCACTTGGTGCCATGGTCTAGTTGACAAGGTGGTGATGAGTCAAAGGATGGACTCTGTGATCTTGGAGGTCTTTTCCAACCTTAATGATTCTATGATTCTATAAAAGCATGCTATTTTTCTAAGAAAATTCATGTTAGACCTGAATGCACTTTGTATAGTGGAGGAGTATAATGACTCTACTGATCTTCACAAAAAAACCCCACCAGAAACCAACAATAACAACAATAAGAAATGGAAAAAAAAAAATTTTTTTTTACAAAAAGATTACAAGAAGTTAAAAGTGAAAAAAATTATTTGTTTGGATTTCCTGAAGACTTTTGAAACATCTCACAAGAAGTCATTCAGGAAACTACACAGAAGTAAAGGAAGACACAATAAAATTTTGCCAAATTAGGAGCCTACTTGCAGATTCCAATGTAATGACATGTATCCAATGCAAAGATCTTGATACTACACCATGGTCAGATGAACAAAGCCAATGATATGCTTTTGAGAAACTCAAATAAAATACTGAAGTATACTAAGAGAAGGAAAAAGCATCAATAAAAGAGTCAAAAAAAGGTGTAAAATCTTCTGCAGAATTAATCCGTATTAGGTACCGTAACAATAAGAAGATACAAAGAACTCACTGGACCTTCCTTCTCTTTTACTTGTTATTAGTGTGTATATAGATAACTCCTTTATTTTTATTCCCACAGAGTGCACATGGAATGCAGTCTGTCAGAGTGGGATGATTAACATGAAACACATCAACTTACACTTTTGGCCTTTTCCAAATACTTTTTGTATCGTTCTTCCATTTGTTTCATTTCCTCCTCCTTCTTCCGTAAAGCTTCTTGTAATTCTTCAATTTTAAGTGCTTTATGTCAGGAGAGGGACACATTGGAAAATATCATCGTTATATTACACATATTCTAATGTTTTACAACAGACTTTTAAGACACAGCTAAAATATATTTCAGTTAAGAGAAGCTGACATAAAGGAACCTGATTTAGCAGATATCACAATTTTAATTATTGAACAGCTCAGAAACACAATACAAATGTGTACTCCCATATAATCTCATAAGACAGCAGTTTTTACACAAATTTTGCTTTTTGAAATTATGAAAAATAAAGAGAAATGGAATAATCAATAAATCTCTTTACTGAACACACTTAGAAAACTAGTTTACTAATGACTTATAGCTTCTCTAATATCTTAGCATGTAATACAGACAAACATGATTTTTCCTATTTTGTAAGAGGAATAATTCTTACCAGGCACAACTCTTGCTTAAATCTGCTAAACTGTAACATTGGACATAGTTTATCAGAAACATGACATGAATATACTAAATTTAATTTTCCCCTCACATTTTCTTAAGCAGCAATGGAGACCAGTAGGACAATTTCATTGCACAGCTTTTTCCTGTGTTGGTGCAAGAGTGTGTCAAGCCACTATTACTTTTACACCTTTTATACAACTTTTCAGATCTTAGAAAACTGTATTTTTTTCTGTTTTTTCCACCACCTTGTTATGAATGAAATAATTTTACCACAAATCAGAAAAACTGCCATCGGTTACAATCTTTTACCTTGTTCTATTATAAATAGTCCTGGGAAAAAAACCCAAACTACCTCCTTCATTACTTCTTTGGAAAACATGCAGCAGTAAGGTTCTAAAACCCAACTAGACTCTTGGTGCTGATATCATCTGAGCAATATGATAATATATATATATATATTGCATATATATATATATTACAACATATTTCTGAAAACACACTGAAGGTATATTGAAAGTAAAAATAACCTCGTGATGGCAAAAAGGATCTTCTAATTAGGGTCTTATGAGACATGACAGTTCTGAACATCTGAAGTTCAGTGGCAGTTATGACAGTGACCTGGTATTTCTATGACCATTGTCACTGGGGGTTGGGACTAGATGTTCTCTAAGGTCCATTCCAACCCCTTAACATTCTATGATTCTATGATTTCTTACTACAGTGGTCTCTAAAATGTTATCCCATGCATTTCAAGTGTTAGAACCATCTTTTTGGTCACCATAGTTTTCAGAGAAATTAACAACATACATGTCACTTCCACTAAAAATGTACATTTTGCTTACCTGACACCTCCTTTAGGTATTAAAATTAGAGACCTTGTACATGAAATACTTTACAAAGAAAAGAAACGGACTGCACAGGTAACTCACAACTGTTATTGCATCTTGGTTCCAAATCTTCAATAATTGCTCGTTTCTTCTGTAGCTCATTGTTAGCTTCGTGGAGCTTCTCTCTGTTACAAACCACAAAAGCACATATTGTTTTCCCAATATTATTACTGTGCTTGAATGACCATTAAGCAGTACAGAAAATCCTCAGAGTGATACATTTCTGAGAGCATGATTGATTTTTTTGCTGTAGGGCATGAGGACAAGTGACAATGTGACTGTGAAAATATTTAAGTAAGATGAAAACCATTATGGTGTATGGAGAACTGCAACAGCAAACAGTTTCTTTAAGTTAGAACTTAAGAGTTAGTTGTACAGTGAGTGCCTAAAATGAATACTGATAAGAGAGATTACACTGAGAAAGAACGGCTAAACCCAAAGGCAACAGAAACTTTTTTCTGCAAGTCAGTCAAAAAGCAAACATCTCTTTGCATTTAAAGCAAGTAAAAGATGTGCAAAAATAGTGCAACAAAATTATAGGACTCCTTTTGTGCCCTAATATATACTAAAGAGTAAACAAATTAATTTTGTTTATATATAACATGCTTTCCTTAGAACAAAATTACTTAGTCCTTCAGAGCAAAGATTTACACAATGTTAAGTTTTCTAACCAACACAAATGATGGTTCTTTCATCCCTCTTATCGCTTTCACAGTGGCTTTCTATGAAATAAAAATAGACTCTGAACAGCAGATTACCAAACATTCCTGTGTTATCTAAATTCTCTCAGCTGTATATTTTCCAGATCCAGGATTAATGACTGTCTGCCTTCCTCACCGTATGGAAAACACACCATTTCAAATTGCAAACAAAATAGGCAAACAGAAATACTTACAGATGTTCTTCAAGTTTCTTTTTCAGAAGAATTGACTAAAACAGAAAGTTAAACATTTTATTTTAATATATTGTGAAGCTTTAGCATAACTTTAAAATTATTTTAAAACATTTAATTTTGACATTCTAATCAAAATCCAACTTTTTTACTTCAGTTTTAGATCACAACTATAAAGGATCCTCTGTGGTAGCAATCTTTCTCTCCACAACTGTGTGACTTCAGCGAAATTAGAATGTTTTAGAACTTTACTAATATTTCCCCAGGAACTAGATCAGTAAAAGCCAGATCCATAAATGACAAAATTCTATTTGTTCAGTTCTTTTGTAATTAGACTTGGTAAATTAACCTGAAATTGGAAAGTGCAGCAAAATTTGCAAGAAGAGCTGTCCTACCAACGTTGCACTGCAATTTGCATGAAGACGTAGCAAATTAGTTGAAGTAAATTCCCATCCCCATAGAAACGAGAAGGAGTAGAGTATTTCTGACTGAAGTATAGCAGAAATTCTACCTTTTTTTCTGTTTCTTATCTTTACTGATTACAGACACATAAAAATTACCATACAACTTACAGTGTTCCACTTTCTGGTTAAATCACATTTAGATAAGCTCTTTAAATAAAAACTTTGAGGAAAATTTTAAATTTTAAACTCACTTCATACACGGTGAGTATCTTTCCAAAAAAATAAACCCAATAAATGTCTATGAACTGAAAGTAGTGTTAAGTAAATAGAAAGCCATACTCACAATAGCCTTGAGCAGAAGCCCATGCCAAGAAACAGAGATGACATTAGTATAAAGCAAAACAGCAGCCAACAGAAGAAACTATTTAGAAAGTCATGAACAGAAAAAGTTAAAGCTATGTACTTTTTCACGCATGCGCAATTTTTTCCTCTGTTCTTATGAGCAATTTCATCCTGTAACATTTTCTAAAACACATCACTAAACCCAGAAACATAAAAATAATAAGGAAGCACATTTATAAATCATTGTGTTTAAACACAGAATTTCAAAAGAGAGCAACTGCTATTTCAGAAAGTCATTTTAAAACAAAAACCATACAACTAACAAAGCAAAGGGAAACAAGCAGTCTGTTGGGCTACAATAAAAAATTAAGGGATGCATGTGTGTTTTTGTGGTGTGATGCTGAATTGTGTTACTGCCACACTGATCAAATACAATACAATACAAAACATTCAAATCTGAAAATGCCATTTTGGTTTGTATTTATCCAGTACTAATCACGCCCAAGGTTTAGCATGTGACTGATAGTCCAGATCACCATCAAATTATTAGATAAAATCATCAACAAAATTATTTCATTGTTTTTTCTCCAATGCTCTTTCAACAAAGGTTTAGACACCTTGCTAACAGAAATATTGCTTTTTAGCTTGGCTATACTACTAAATACTGTCTTTGATCACATTCCTGGTGGGTGTTTTTACATTATTTCAAATGAGATTTTCTTATTGCCACTGTAAGCAAGGTGGAGAGCTGTAAAAACGAGTCAGCAAGACTCTATTGATTTCACAGTCAGAAATTTGTAGCAGTTAAGGATTTGCACATTTTGACCATGTGGCTTTTTAATTTTCCAGCCCACTGAACAACTGCAGCAACACCACCTCTTCTGTAACAAAAAAATATTTGTATGCATCTTTCTCAGTCACAAATCATTTGAACTGGCACCACCACTTATATCTGATCATTCAGGGGACTACTGGTTGGTTAGGACAGGATAGGAAGAAGTTGGAAGCAGTGCCCATTTCCCTAATAAAAACTGAACTCAGCTTTTCTCTTGCCGTCCTTCAATTGCACTTGGGTTTAGCTTGGCACAGACACAATTACCAGTCCACATTCACTCCCCTGCTGTACTTCTGCACTTGTTTGCCTCGTATCTGCACTGCTGTGGGAGTAAACCCTCTCCCACCAAAACAGATCATGTTCTCACAAGCAAGAAACTAATTGTGATGAATAGCACTAATTGTGATAAATACCTAAAAGAAGCAGAACTGAGTTTACCCACAGTAATTTACCCAAAAGACAAGATTAGGAAAACGACTAAAACATAAAATGTGTAATTTTACCCACCCAAAGATCCTGTATATACTTGTAGCCAGGAAGACAAATTCAAAAAATTACTCTAAAAATGGGCAAACATTACTCCTGTTTTTTTTGCAGCCTCAGTAAGCTTTAAGGACTCATACACAAATCATCTGCTTCTAAAATGTAATTACTATAACTGTTGTTATATCATAGGAAGACAAGTTTCCTATAAAAATCCCAATCTAAAAAAACTCCAAAAAACCAAACAAAACCTTTATCTAATTTTGACCCAGCTTTACATTTAACTTCATTAAAATGTTTTATCTGTTCATAATAGAAGTACATATCTATAACAAAACTGTAAAAATCAGCAAATGCACACTTAGTAACTTGCTTTTTCTTCCCGCTGCAACCAAGTTGCACTTACAAAACAGCAGAACAAAATACTTATTACAGTGTGGTTTTAGGAAACAGGTATCCAATTGCTATCTTTCTTTTGCATTAAAAAAAATACTGAAAAAAAGTCTTTTTGCTTGAAATTTCTTTCATACTTAAAAAGCAAAAGAAACAGGTCTGTCCACCTTTTTAGTACAAAATTTGGTTTTGTTTTATATGTTAATGTTACAGGTAGATGGCTAGGCTCTGGCTTGAGGTTAAGCTAACTTAGCAGGGTAAGGGAAACTATGGGACATCACTTCAGAAAATTGCTTGATGAAACTGGTAAGGCTGTGAGAAGATGATGAAAGTTATAAACAACACCACAAGGGATGGTCAGATTTCATAGATGTTAAGAGAAATCACAGAATTATTTGGGTTGGCAGGGACCTTTAAAGGTCTCAGTCAAAATCCCTGCAGTAAGCAGGGACATCTGCAAAGAGATCAGGTTGCTCAGAGCCCTGCTCCATTGAATGCTTCCATTGATGGGGCATCCACACCTTCTCCAGGCAACCAGCGTTTCACCAAATGAGCAAAGTGGCCAAACTTCACAGATAACAGAGTTGTGGGGACCTTCTAGGCAGGTGTTGTGTCAGTAACAGCATATAAGACCAAGACTGCATGTGTAACATTATGAGAAACATCAGGCGTGGGATGGATTTAGCAAGTGGGGCAGAAGTAACTAAAGGCAGTGTTTATATAGGAAGGGATGAGGGCAGAGAGCAGTAGAACAAGGATGAGAAAGGACAGTGATGATAAGGCATACAAATGATTTAGTCAAAACTGTTTGGGGTAACGGCTGAGCAGCCCCCACACAACTATGGTTTCTAAAGGACAATAAACCTATTCTGACCACACCAGACATGTCTGAGTTGATTCTATAGTCTGGAAGGCTGGGGTAAGGAGGCTTTTCCCTGGCTAGCAAGGCAACAGCCAGGATGGACTAATCATGCATCCCAAGAGAACATGTCAGTGCCCATTACAGGCCCAATGGCAGTGACATCTTTTGAACAGCTGCCTTTCACTGCACTTCAATACAAAATCAAAACTGCTTCCCCATGTAGACCTTGGCACACAGCATGTTTCTCCACAATGACACTTGCCTGTGTTAGGGTAGTACTTCTACTACCTCTTGGGCAGGCCTAAAAGTAACTTCAACTTTAAAACCGAACAAAACCCCAACGAAAACCAGACCTGATCACTCATCACACATTTTTGAATTAAACTGGAGTCTTCAGTTTTCTGGATTGAGCACATTTAAAGTCTAAGTATATAAAAATATGGATTTCTGTGCATTGTTGCAGAAAAGTAGTGAAAAAACAGAGGAAATGTGCTGAAAATGATCCATCAATGAACTGTATGTCATGTCTCTCCTAATACTTTTTCTCATACTTCTGAAGAATCACTCTGTTTGTATTAATACCTTATGGGTAACTCAGGTAGCCCCAACTTCCATCTACCTGAGCAGCTGGGTTTAACTTCTGAGGTTTGCTTTGCTTTGTCAGGGAGACTGCATGTGGTGATCATAAAGTCAGAGGTTCTTGCATCCTCAACCCTTCTCTGAGTCTACACTCACTCTTTTTGCTTCTTTAGGACTAAATGAAATCCTACACATCAGACTCAGAGAAACAGGCCATGGCATTAGGGCCCATAAATCACCAGTGGTATGGTCAGACCTACACAGAGGCCGTGAGTGCAGCAACTGCACCACGAACTTGCCAGCTCTGATTTGACAAGGGCTGCCTGGCACACACAGAGGCTGTGCCGTGGTGTTGTGCTGTCAACAGAATCATTTCAGGTGGCACCTACATAGGCTGCAATCAGTCCTGTAAGCGAGGTGCGGACACATCCTAAATTTCTGTCCCAACCAGAGCCTCAAAAAGGGACACAATTAAAATCACAGTAAATAAAGCTGAATACAATTAGAAAAGGGTCATTTACAATAGTCAATACCTGAGAATAATTTTTTCATATTCTAGTTCATCCTGAAAAATTTGATTTTGGCCAATAACCAAGACAAAGAACATCTCAGAATGGGCCTATTTTAAAAGGTATTCTAAAATATGTCCTAAGTTACTTAGGAAAATAATCTTATTGGAAATCGACTAGATGTTTTACATTCATATAGTTTATTCTGAAAATTAAAAGGATAAGCTAAATTAAACACACTCTTAAATGAACATAAGCAGCTAGTAGAAACTTCCATATTTTATATAAATTAGTTAAAACAAAACCACAAAAATAGAAAGCAACACATTAAAATTTGTTGCCAATTAGCAACACAATACACTGAGAGTGTGAGCATACACTGTGCATGTACAATCCAACAAATCACTGCTTTCAAGAAAGTTCTAGAGCTTCTTTTTTCAAATACAGAAGATGGTAAACAATTTTTGAGTGGAAGACTGAAAGTTGTTTTCCACACTAACTCAGCTGCAATATGTATTCTTACATTTAAAATAAAATTAGCTCTGTATATAGAAACAGAAAATGCTGCATGATGTTGAGGGCCTAATTATTTTACTTTTTTTTTTTTTCAGTTTTGGTCTGCCTGGCTTTTTCCTTTATGAGATACATTTACACCAACAGTTGCAGAGCTTCCACTGGCTGGAAAGGCCTTAATTCTCATTAAGAAAACTAAATAACTTCAAATACTTTATTCACGGAGAATCAACACTTCCCTAATTCCCTGTAAAACTCTCTATTTTAATTAAATAAATGCTAAGTTTTCTATTGGAACAGACGCAATTATTCAAATAAAACATATTTGACACCTTCTCTACATAGGATGGTTTTCTATTCTACACAAATGTCTCACATCCTATTTAGAGAAGCACAGTTTAGTGATAAGACCACACAAGTAAATATGGAAAACTATCAGAAATCTGTTTGTATATTTCTTTTACATAGTTTTTTTTACAAAAAGGTCAAAGTTTCAAAAATGGGAAGTACTTGAATGTAAGTTTGATGCACATTTCTACTTACATCTTCAGCTTTTGAACCTTGATCCTGTAAAGATTTTTGTAGTTCTTCAACCTGGGACTGCACTTCTAGAAGTCTCTGATTTACCAATCTAGGAAAGAGATAACAGAAACAACATGCGTTTTTCAAAAAAACCCCAAAAAACTGCAAGAGGAAGTCAGATTTTTAGTGTCCAGTGTTTTCAGGTTATCTACACAACAGATGCAATATCGTAATTTATTCGCAAAAAAAATTTACATAAAAATTACAAACATTTACTAGTGTCATCCAGAACATTCTGATACTCTTCCAGGACAACATAAATGCATGCAGAAATCAGTTCTATGCACAGGAAACAGGAGTTTCTAACGATCAGTTTACTGCGTGAGAGCTGCTAGCTTACCGCTTTTACACAGTTACAGAATCCTATGGACCCGTAGGTTGGAAAGGGATCTCCAGAGGTTGTCTAAACCCAGCCTCCTCCTTAAAGCAGGTGCACCTACAGGAGATTGCCGGGAACCACATGCAGTACCAGGTTGGGACACTTCTAAGGACAGAGGCCTAACAATCTCTTCGAGCTTCTCTTCTAGAGCTCAGGCCATATTGCATCTGTTGCTTCTTGTTCTTCCACTTACAGTCTCTTGAGAAGAGCCTGACTATGTCTTCCTGACACCTTCCCATCACACAGATGCAGATGACAGTATGATCTCCTCTAATCCACATTTTCTTTGGCCCGGACAAACCCAGTTCTTGATTTTATTCTCCCCCTATCACGTGCTCCAGCATCCCTCACCTTAGAGGTGTTCTGCTGCACTCCTACACATCCACCTCTTTCTTGTACTGGGGAATCCAAAATTATATGCTACATCCAGATGTGATATCTTAAGTACCGATGAAAGGTGAACAATCATTTTTCCAGACTGATTGCCTGCACCTTGCTGAGAGCAGTCAAGATCATAGTCAACTGCAAGGTCCCCAGATAACACATCCTACCTTGCTGCCCAGTAGAACCCCAAGGCTTTGGCAGCAGAGCTGCTCCACAGCCTACTGCTCCTAGCCAGGGACAGGGCTCCCATCAGCTCATTTCTCTGTACTGTTGAGCACCTCTGAATAACAGCTCTCCCTTTCAGGATATCAATGGCTCCTCCCAAAGTGGTACCATCCTCAAACTTGCTGAGAGAGTAGTCCCTCTCATCAGTCAAGCTGTTTATAAAGGTGATGGACAGCACTGCTCCTGCTATTGATGCCTGAGGAACTGGTTGCCACTTGGGTTTCATATCACTAACAATAACACATTAGACTCAGCTGTCCAACCACTGTCCAGCAAATTTTCTGACCACTTTAGTGTCCACTTCTTCAGTTTATATCTAACCATTCTAAACATAAGGATACCATGGGACACTGTGTCAAAGGCTTTGCTAAAGCTAAGCTAAGTACCATCCTCTGTTCACCCTTCTTCAGATGTGCAGTCATATCATCATCAAGACTTGGTTTAGTTATGCAAGATTTGCTCTGAATAAATTCATGTTGACCTTTCCCAATTATTTTCTTGTCCCTCATGCCACTGGAAACAGATTCCAGATGGAGTTGCTTTCTGAATTTCCCAGAAAGTGAGCTGTGGCTGACCAGTCTCTGTAGTTCTTCATACTCTTTTTCTTGCCCTTCTTGAAGGTGAGTGAATATTTACCTTTTCCCAGGCTTCACGTGCTTTACCCAATTGAAGGGGGGGACAGGGACAGATTAGATAGAGAGCAGCCTCACATCGATAACAGCCAACTACTGTGGCATGCTCAGATGCACTGTCTGGTCCCATGGATATCTGTATGATGATTGCCTCAATCTAGCAGAGTCAGCTAGAGCAGGCTGCCTGGGAACATGTCCTGTTGAGTTTTAAATATCTCCAAGGATGGAGACAACCTCTCTAGGCAACATAATCCAGTGTTCAGCAACCCTCACAGCAAAAAAAAAAAGTATGTTCTTACATTCAGATAAAATATGTGTTTTAAGCTCTGCCCACTGCCCTGTTACTGAGCATCACAAAGAAGAGTCTAGCTCTATCTCCTTTAGACTTTCCCATCAGATACTTTGGTAAGATATATTGATAAGATCCACCCTAAGCCTTCTCTTTGCCAGGCTACATAGTCTCTATACTTCAGACTCTACTCATTTGAAAGACACAGCAGTCCTGTAATCACACCCCTGTGGCCTTTCACAGTACTGACTCCACTAAGTTCATGTCTTTCTTGTCCTGGGGATGCCTGTATTGGACACAGTACAGTCAAAAGTATATGGTACTATCAGAAAAGTCAAGTGAAACAGAAGACAAAAATTCTTACCTGTTTTCTGTCTCCAGTTCATTCTTCCGTAAGTTTGCATCATCAAGAAGGCTCTGCAACAAGGCAATCTTTTCATTGTCAGAACCTTCTTGGTTCAATTTTAACATCTTGTTCTCATGCTGAAGGCGAATGAGTTTCTCCCTAAACACATAAAACACAATTTTGTAGAAAAAAGAATGCCAAACTCTATAAAAAAGAAAACAGTTTACCACAGGTAGTATCATTTTTACAAATATCATCTTTACCTATTCAAGCAAGACAGTTTAAGACAGCTGAAGACAACAATCATGTCTCTTCAAAACCCCAAACACAAACTTAATTCAAGGAACTGTAATTGTAGAAAGCACAACACAAGGAAATCACCCGAGTACCCCTATTAGATCTCAAGGGTACAGCTGAACAGATTTATAGAGCGAACACGAAGAATGCAGAACTCAATACCCAAGTGTGAAGGAAGGCTGTAATCTCAGCTCACTGAACTACCGCATAAACCTGAGCAACTCACTTCAACCCTGTTGATCTGTTTTCACAGAATCATTTGAGCTGAAAAAGACTATTAAGATCATCAAATCTAAACATAAACCCAGCACTGCCAAGTCCACCACAGAACCATGTCCCCAGGCACCACGTCTACACATTTTTTAAATACCTTCAGAGATTGTGATTCAAACACTTCTCTGGGTAGGCTGTTCCAATGCTAGACAACACTCGATTCCAACTAGCCAACCTAAATCTCCCCTGGCACAACTTGAGACCATTTCCTCTTGTCCCACCTCTTATTACTTGGGAGAAGAGACCAATCCCCACCATGTTAAAACCTCCTCTCAGGTGGTTGTAGAGAGTGATAAGGTCACCCCTGAGCCTCCTTTTCTCCAGAATAAACACCTCCTTCCCCCCGCTCCTTGTATGATTTATACTCTAGACCCTTCATTGGCTCCATTGTCCTTTCCTGGACATGTTCTAGCACCTCAATGTCCTTCTTGAAGTGAGGGGCTCAGAACTTGACACAGGACTCGAGGTGTGGCCTCATCAGTGCTGAGTACAGGGGGACAATCACTGCCCTGGTCCTGCAGGCCACATTACTGCTGATACAAGCTAGGATGCCACTGACCTTCTTGGCACCTGGGCACACTGCTGGCTCGTGTTCAGCCGTTAAACAACCCCCAAATCTACACCTGAATGACAGGATGCCATCCAGAGGGACCTGGACAAGCTCAAGAAGTGGGCCCATGGAAAACTCATAAGGTTCAACAAGGCTAAGTGCACAGCGCTGCACCTGGGTGAGGGCAACTCTCAGCACAGGCTGGGGATGAACAGATCCAGAGCAGCCCTGCTGAGTAGGACCTGGAGGTGCTGGTGGGTGAGAGGCTGGACATGACCCAGCAACGTGCACTTGCAGCCCAGAAAGCCAATTGTGTCCTAGGCTGCATCAAAAGCAGCATGGCCAGTAGGGAAAGGGAGGGGATTCTGTCCTTGTAGTCTGCTCTGGTGAGATCCCACATGCAACACTGCATCCAGCTCTGAAGTCCTCAGCAAAGGACCAATTGAAGTAAGTGCAGAGGAGGCCACTGAGTTGATCACAGGGATGGAATACCTCTCCTACGAGGAAAGGCTGAGAGAGTTGGGGTTGTTCAGTCCAAGGAAGATCTGGGGATACCTCAGAGAAGCCTTCCAGTACCTGCAGCAAGTCTACAAGAGAGCTGGAAAGGGAATTTTTACAAAGATATGGAGTGAAAAGACAAGGGGGAATGGCTTCAAAGTAAAAAATACTTGGACTAGATATGAGAAAAAAAATTCTTTTGAAGGTGGTGAGCATTTTGAGGCACTGGCACAGGTTGCCCTCAGAAGCTGTGAATGCCCCAATGATTTTGTGAAAACAGATCAACAGGGTTCCCGGCTTATCTCTGGTGAGCCTGGCTTTATCCATTTCCCCTTTAAATCTAGTTTAAAGCTTTTTCAATGAGCCTCGCCAACTCCTTTTGTCACTTTAATTTGCTGATTACCACAGGTAATCAGAGGCCACAGACTGAACCGCCTCAGGAAATACTCCCATTTGGTCTGCAGGTCTTCTCCAGGGGACCAAGAAAGTTGCCATGTTCTGTCACCATAGGGGGGTCAAGAGAGCACTATAGCTACTTCTGTAGAGGGCTGCTTTGTGCAGTCTTCCCCATTCATCAGCAGAAGCAAAAGCCTGGACCTCCAGATGAGGAAGTTCCAGACACACAGCAGTCACTGCTACTGTCCGTCTCTAACAAGCAGGTATGGAAGACACCTTCCTGCTGGAAACAGTGTACATGGAAACATGTATGCTTAGAGAAAATCCAGGAATTTGGTAGCCCACAAGAATCACCAAAGTCGAACTCCTGGCCCTGCACAGAACCATCCCCAAGAACCAAAATATGTGCCTGAGCCTCATCTTCTTGAACTCTGCCAGGCTTGATGCTGTGACCACTGTCCTGGGGAGCCTGTTCAGTGCCCAACCACCCTCTGGGGGAAGAATCTTTTCCTAATATCCAATCTAAACCTCCCCTGACACAACTTCAGGCCGTTCCCTGAGGTTCTGTCACTGGTCACCACAGAGAAGAGATCAGTGCCTGCCCCTCCTCTTCCCCTCACTAGGAAGATGAAGACCACCATGAGGTCTCCCCTCAGAGTTCAGAAGACCACCATGAGGTCTTCTCTAGGCTGAACAGACCAAGTGACCTCAGCTGCTCCTCATACGGTTTCCCCTCCAGTCCCTTCACCATCCTCATGGCCCTCCTCTGGATATTCTATAATAGCTTTATGTGCTTCTTATACTGCAGTGCCCCAAACTGCACACAATATTCAGGCTGGGGCCGCCCCAGGTCAGAGCAGAGCAGGACAATCCCCTCCCTAGACCGGCTGGTGATGCTTTGCCTGATGCCCCCAGGACAGGGTTGGCCCTCCTGGCTGCCAGGGCACTGCTGACTCAGATTCAATTTGCCATCAACCACTGTAAAGGTTAGTAAAACAAAGCACATATTAGCTTACTTTATTTCAGGAGTAATGATTTCTGCTGCTAAACTGTCAGAAGGCTCTTGTCTTCCCAGAGGCATCAATCCTGAGTAAGGAAAAGTAAAAAAATTTTGCAAGCACACCACTTACTTTCTTTATATGAAAAGAAGTAACCACTGTTTTAGAAATTTACAGTTTTAGACTACTACTAGACAATGTAAAATGACACAAAGCCTACAGTAAGACAGACAGGCAAGCACCATTTCATTTGGAGATTAATTACTTCAGACTTCACCCATTCTGAAAAAATAATTTTGCTATTTCTTTTCTGCTCATTAGCTTATCTAAGAACCACAAAGCTATGCAACATTACAGATAAAATGAACCATAACCCATGAAACATCATGAAAAAAATCTCTCTAAAGAAAACTATGTAACTACACACAAATCAGATATACATTATTAAAATATCACACCGGGGAAGAGAGTAAAATTTCTGATTGACTGAAGTAATATGTGAAGTCTTTGCCTGCTCAGGAAGTTATGAATAGTTGAAGCAGTTTTTCACTTCTGATTTTAGAGGAGCTTAAACTTATTCTGTGCTAAACAAAAGCACAATCAATACTCTCCAGAGAGGTCCTGTAAACTTTAGAAAAGAGGCATTTAATCTCCTTATTTGTCTTTTACCTGTAGTGGTGAGTTGACCCTCCTGTGCTTGTACACATCTAAGCTCTTCAATAGTTTCTTTCAAGGAATCCCTTTCTGTTCTTAATCTCTGAATAATCGGAAAGAGAACAATTGGAAGGAGAACAAACAACAAAATCAGTCTTGGCACTACACATCCATCTTTAACAGTATACAGGTCACCAAAAGGCATAGACTTCAACACTTCAAAAAGGATTTAATGCAACTCTAGAGATTATTTTGAAATTAAGGTATCTCTGTCTATTTCACAACAGAATAAATGTAAGTATTACATATTCCACATGGACAGGTTTTTTTTGAGAAGAGTTGCTGATCTTAAGGGGCTAGAAAAAACAGGGTATAGGCTCACAAAATTGAGATAATTAGAGACGCAAAGTTATGGTATGGGTAGTAAGCTGCATCCACTGTGGCCAACCAGACATTTTCCTTTTCCTTTCATTGGGGCTGATTCCAAGGCAAAGGGAAGTGAATTAGGAGAGCATAGATTTTTCCCTCACCATGAATCCAAGGTTTAGACAGGAGCAGGCGAGAACACAGTCAACATAACAAACTGCTTTAAATCCATTTTGTTTGTCTTTTACCAGTGGAAGTGTGAGCAGCATTTCCATATCCCATTCCACCTGCGTATCAGCTGGCCTTGCCACTCATCAGAATCTTGGCCATAAAAGAAAACTAGTTGCTTAAGACTCGGTCCAAAGAGAACCGAAGAACAGGACTGGACCACCTTGGGATCCAGAGAGATCTGTTATTTAGTAGCATCAGGCAAATACTCTCTCAGTTTGGCACAAGTCCCCTTCTGGCAAAAAAATGAGAATCTACAGATAGCACCAAGTTTTTGTCCAGAATGTTGCCAAGAGTCAAAAACGAAAGAAGAAAATGGCAACTCTGTAATGATCCAAGCTGTAGTTTTACTCCAAAATTAGATAGGTTTGGTATTACTAAATGGTCCAGGACAGATCTTGGCTCTGTGTAGGTATGAAGTTGTGTTAGCTGAGAGGTCGTTGCATTTCATTCTATTAACAGTTGATTATCAAATGCCAGAATATTGTAATGGCTAGAAAAAGCTCAAGGGCTTCATTTAGACAAGCAACTCATCAAATTATCTTAGAACTTATCACAACACACCACAGAGGTAAAGTTCCAAGCTACATAGCTGAAGATATCAAACACACTACCATGCTTTGCCAGAACATAAAGAAAAGGATAAAATTAATTTCAGTAACTGCATCCAAAATATAACTAACAAGATAGCACTACATAGCTTATGACCTGTGGTGGGCTACCTTACTGATAAGTTTGTGACAAGAGGGAACAGAAAGAGTAGATAACAGACAGTGAATCACTACATCCATATGATGAGAGACTTCCAGCTGTAATCTGTTTCTCACAGGCATCCAAAAGAATATACTTAAAAACAACATCCATCCCCAAAAAATACTATTTGTCAGGGGGTAAAATGGAAAACTGTATGACAATGGCCTGCAATTCAGATCCTTTGTGCAAGATGAAATGGTCCACTAAGCAATGGATAAGCCACAGAGACAACTTTACCACTGTCAAACAAAAGCACTGGGGAAAAAAAAACACCCCAATTTAAAAATAAAGAGCAGGAAAGAAAGCCAAAGCGCAGTACAAATACAATTACTACAAGCGTTCCAGCCTGAAATGAAAGGCAGATTGAAGTGATCTGAAGGTCAAGTGTCCAAAAATTTAATAAAAAATAGAAATCAATGACCTATGAACATAAAATAACTGAAAGCTTTCAGTTGAAATGATATTCAGGTGCAGGGCCTGGAAATTTCAGAAAGAACTGGACATGAAATATGACTATTGAGGAAAAAGCCTACAGAGCTTCTGACAGCTGTATTGATGGACTGATAATTACAACATGTCTAAGAAACTGCTAACTCAAAGTGCTGACCTTGGTTTGAGGTAGTCTGAGGCACCTGCATATACATTCCCAAGAAACAAGCCAAAGTAAACTGGTAAGAAACAACAGTGTGCAAGAGAAGTTTGAGAGATCACTATCAGCAAAAGAGAGCAATCAATTGCAGAATCACTAGCAGCAAATGACACAAGTGGAAGGGGATAGGTTAGTATCTACCCTGTGTGTTCCATGTTGGCAGTGTAAGATAGATCAACAAAGAGCTGTCATAAAAGGTGACATTGCCACAAAGGACACTTCCCTCTACACAACTACTAAGCCTCTTGTTACAGTAATCATGACTCCTCAAAGAGAAGTACACTGATGGTACCTCGAAGAATGCCTTAGGAAAAAAAATGCAACAGGAGTTTAGTTCTAGGATGATACCACAGAAACTCTACTGTAAACAGTTTTTCAGAATACCTGAAAATTACCCTGAGTAATTATTAACCTTCTCATGGTAAATAGTAAACAACTTCAGATGCCAAATAAGAATGCTCTTCCTCTTAAAAATGGGTTGCATATGTTTTTGTACAGTCACTTTATTCCATGCTGTACAACTCTTAGGTTTAAAAAGTATCTTGTACAGAAACATTAGAAAATTTTAGCTGAAAAAAGACTTCCTAATTTAAAAAGATTGCTAACTATAATTACCATATCTCTGTGTTACAAAGTTGCTATCATTACTAACAAAAAAATAACACCTTGGCACTTACATCTTTTTCTTTTTGGAGGCTGTCTACTTTTTCTTTCAGTCGTTTGCATTCATAATCTAATTTATCAGCTTTCTTGGACTCTTCAGATAACCTGTTTTGTAGTTCAACTGCCTGTGAGAACAAGAATCAATAATGTGTCTGCAAATATTAAAACAAAATACAAAAGACAAAGTAGCCCGTTACCATGCACCATGACTCATGTTGTAAACAAGTGAAATAACTACCTACAGGACACACTAAAACTGCTTTCATAAATTGTTCTGTGTTTCAGCAAAATAAACAGCATTCAAATACTAGGTCTTAGTACAAGTAAAAGACATAAAAACTGTGAAGTATTTTCAGTACATCTAAAACAAGAATTTAAGCTCAAGCAAGGTTTACAGAAAAAAAGCTATGTAATTCTAGGGATCAAAGAGCTTAGGAAAAGCAGAAAAATCTCCCTGCATTCTGAGAAGCCTAGTAAGAAGAAAAAACTCTGAAGAAAGCAAATTATCTACACCTACCAGTTTATGCAGACAGGTAACATTTCTTAACCTGAGATTTCCTAATAATTTCTAATACATTAATATAAAGATTTGGCCACAGGCTTATAAAGAGTTTTCCTTATTTCGGGGAGAAACATTGCTAACAAAGCCACATGTATGCTTTCAACTACAGATCAGTAAAGAGCTTTTAAAATTAAGTGTGCAGAAATATGAAAGCTGAGCACAATGGGAGGCAAATCAGTGAAATCTTGCCTTTTCAAAACTCTCAGCCTTTACTAGCAAAGATTCATGCCCAGAACATTAGTAAAGCTCATAATGCAGAGTGCATTGAAGCAAGTAAGGTCAATAAAAACTGAACTGCAAGCACAAAAGGTCAATGAAGACTCAGATAAAGACATACAGCTTCTTCTGAAGGAATTCATAAGAAGGCTTTTTCATGGCTTTTAGATTAGACAGGAAGAGATTAACTTAAATTGTGAAGCACTACTTACATTAAGACTAGCCAGTTTTTCTTGCTGCCTTTTATTTTCAATGTGTACAGCTACAGCAAAATATCTACAAGGCCTAAAATATGCATGGTTTTAAGTCTTAGAGAAAGACTTTGCTGCTGTTGTTCTTAAATTAAAGGCCGTAAAAATAGCACAGGCCTGCGTTTTCTGACATTAAAAAAATAAAATATTAGATACGAAAATATTTCATTTCTCAGATGTGACATCCATCACTGGGGCTATCACAATAAATGCAGGTATAAAAAAAATACACAGGCCTTCACCTGTGATTGTGTCCCCACTTGCAAAAGATGTAAATTTTCACCTCAAATGGAAAAAAATGCATTAATGTTTGTAATCACTCAAGCTATGGTAATGGCATGCAGAAAAACACAGCAGGAAATAAACTGTTTAATTGTCTTGAATTAGGACTTGTGAGGGTATAGAAAGATACACAGTTTCATGGTAATGCAGAAGATTAAAAAAAAATAAAAACAAACTGCCATCACATTTACTAAGCATTATCTCAGTGCGGAATGAGTAAAGCAGGAATTTTGCAACAAAGAAAAGCAAGACATACTGTTAAAAATATATCAGAATGCACATGCACAAAGGGGCTGAATTAAATTACGAAAAAATTATCCTGGAATCTTCACATTTCAATTCTTAATGCTGCAATAAAGTTTCTTAGAAAAGGCTTCTGCTGTGTGCAGTGGAGATGCCACTTCCTTGCAAATTAATATAGGAGTTTGAATCAAGCACTTACATTTGCATAGCACAATGCTTCTAAATCAAAGAAATAACTCCTCTGATGGCATCCTCATGAGTGGGGTTGGATCCTTCATACACAGGACACGTTCCACTACAGGAATTGTCTGTTATCTCATATTTTTTCTTGTCCAAGTTCTTTTTTTCTGGTAAAAACACTTGGGCTGTATTTACAACTAGGCCACGGAGGCTGAAACTAGTAGTCTAAATAAATGAGATGGCCAAGCGCAGGGAAAAAGATCTATTAAGTCTTAGGGAAACACATTGCTCCTGGGCTTGCAATGTTGTTAGTGCTTGGTTCTGTGTTTTATTCTACTGTAAGCTGACAAACAGGGACCCTGTGCTGTGACCATTCAATCAGGCAGAAATACAGAGCAGGTACTACTACTTTAATGAGCCATGCTCTGCCTGGCCCTGTAGCAAGAATGCCAGTATGATGTTATGTCCCCGTAGCATAGAAGCAGAGAGAAGATTAAGCACATCGTCCACCTTTACAGAAACAGCATCACATGGCACTTTGATAAGCAGGAGGATAAACAGATGCCTTTCACTCCAGAGAGTGTGCTGGTGACACATTTTGTACTCTGCTGAGTGCATATAAACAACAGGGATGACATGTGTCCTTTTCTCTTCTTATCTGGAAAAATTCAGAAGTATCAGAAACTAGAACCTGAAAAAAGAGAGGTTACTTAGCCAGAGGAATAACCTACCTCAGCTGCGGTGCATTCCTCACTGCCAGAAAATTTTAAGTGAAAGGCAGATACTTTCTCTGAAAGAAGAGGCTCAAATTCAAGCCCTGCTATTGAATATGAAGTGGGAATAACTTAGGAAAGAACCCTTAACTTCTGTTGATTTTTTAAATGTAAGAAATACTGCTTATTGGCAAACTAATATAAACATGTAATAATGACAAGAATTGCAGGAAAGGAGGACAAAGGTAGTACCTACAAAACACGGAAATCTTCTAAAGAGAAGGAGCTGTTTTTTTATAGTTTCTTTTTTACTTTGAGGTATTAACCATATTAGGAAGAGAAAGTGTTGAACAATAGAGAGTACTGTTGCATAGATGGTGCTTGTCCTCACCTGTCTCTTGTATGTTTCCAGCTGACTGCGTGCTGCGTTGGCCTTTCTTAATTCTTCCTCCAGGCTCACAGTATTTTGCATGTACATTGTATTCTTCTCCTCTAAAAGCTTCACTTGACGCCGCAAATCACCCAGATCTTCCAATTTCTTTTTGTATGACTCTACCTGGCTTTCTAACTTGGCTACTTTATCAGAAGAATGCCTGAAGGGACAGATTTGTATTGAATTTGAACTCAGAAAACTAACAAAACCAACAAAGTTAAATGCTTCCTCACTATTTTGCCTTAATGCAGAAGACATTCTGAGACATCATGAGGAGAACAATAAAGCAGTCATATTCTCTTATTACTGATGTTTTCACTTTTAAATTACCTGCTTTCCTCCCATATGACTGTTTGTCAACTCAAATTACTGCTGATAGAGGTCCTTTAGAAACTATCACTCTTCCTAATACAGCTTTCTTATCTGCTTCCAATCTTAAAACAGTAGTTAATACAACTTAACTCCCACTCATTTCCTTTCAATTCCAAATTATCTTCTATTCTGCATTTTACAAGGGTAAAGAAGAAAACTTTCTGGCCTCCAATTTGTTTTAATGAGAGCCAGGAATAAAATCATAAAGATCCATCTCCTGGGCAACTCATACTTGGTGACACAGAAGTAAAGTACTGTGTTTGATTTGTTTGGAGTATGATTCCTTCTAAAAAAAAAAAAAAGACAGAGGGAGAAAAGAAACACCAGGCTCTGTTCATAACTTCTCAGAGTTTTTTTAATCCATCCACTGCACTGTCAGGACAGCAACTACTCTCACCCCAACAACCACCCACCCCTCTACCACTAATACTGTCCTCGGTTTCATTTTTGAACCAAATCATTTACAGGCTCAACTTCCTGTGAAATCCAGGGAATCTCCCACCGAATTGATGGGCCAGTTTATGAGACATTGGGGCAAGCCAAATCTCTAAGATCCCCAGTGAAGTGCAGAGCCTCTCTCGTGCAACAAGGAATTACTCTTTGCACCTATGCCACCCACACAGACAATTCATGAAATTATGCAGCCTGATGGGCTCATTCCTTATATTAATGACAGAGGGGATAAAGACAGAAAGCTCTGATAGAAAGGTGCTGGTGAATTAGAAAAGGCAATATTAAACTAAGCCTTGGGAGAGGGAATGGGTAACTGTTCTGAATAACTCATTGCAGCAAGGCACCAATACTGAAGGATTACGTTCCACAGCAAAAGTGTCTGTCCCACCCTACAAACCCCTACCATCATGAAATCATGACAACTTCGTGAGCTAAGATCCAGTGACAGTGAGAGCTGCAACAGGTGTTCATATTAGCATTATTTGATGAACCAAAAGCACATCCAAAGTGCAAACAACGCAAACCTAGGAAAGGACATAGTTTCCTGATGAGAACAGTTGCCCAACTCATGATGAACGTGAGTAGCAAATACTCAAGAGACCAGCAAGTGCCCTGTAATAACCATAAGATTGTGTAGAAGTGCTAAGTCTACTCATAGTTATTGATCAAGGTACACAATAAACAACCATTTTACTTAAGCAGAATTAAACTGGAGGATCCAGAAGAACCTTGGCATTGAGAAAGTGTTTATATTTAATATTTAAATTATTTAAACAAAAGATAATGTAGATTAAGTACACAAATTAAAAGTTAATAGTTAAAAAAAGGATTAATGGAACAGAATTTACCTGAGTACATCTATCTCATCCTTCAAAGACTGAGCCTCCTCTGCCAGTGTAGTAAGCTCTTCTGTTTGTTGTCTCAATTCTGCAATTTCCTTTTCTAGTTCTTCACAGCGTATTCGATAGTCATCTTTGGCAGCTTCTAATCTGTAAAAATGAAGAAAAACAGAAAATAACTTTCCATCTTGAGCCACAGTTACCTTTCCTCATCATCATCCCCTCTAAAGTCACATGAAATGGCCTTCTGCTGCAGTGAAGGAGAACAGCCCAGTGTGCTTATTCAAAATGTAGAAGCAGATTGACTTTTTTGATGCTCCCAATCTTTCAGTCTTTCTACTTGGAAAATCAAAAGGTAATGTATGTTCTCACAAAGATAATCCTCAGGTTTTTTCTGCAATAGTAGTTTTTCACAAAGGAAGCTCAAGCAGAAATTTTCACCTTTTTTCATCTTGGAACATACAGAGTTTGAACATGACACCTTTATTGTAAGATTTTCTTCAGTTGTCCAACTCCTATACACTTTCAACAATATTGACCTGATTGTCAGATGTTATAAATGTCACAGAGCTCTCACCAAAGTGGTTTTATTTATTTACTCAAAAAGAGCCTGTGCATGCCCAGCACACCTGAAGAACCAGGTTTTTAGTTAAAAAGTAAAGAACTCAGACCAAAGTTGCTGAAGTAAACTGCTTGCATACAGCACACATAGGCAAAGCTTCATTAACCTGTCAGTGAAAACAGGGAACAGGTAATAGTAACTTTGTCAAAGTATTTTGAATGAATGGAAAAGGACACGACCTGGAACACAAAAGTCCTATGGCGATTTTGATCTGAAATTAAAACACAAACAATCCAGAAAGGGAGATATGGCCATGAGGGGTAAAAAAGTATTTTATCCAAAAAGAGTCTACAAGAATGGAGACAAGAGAAAGTTTTTAAGTCATTTAAACCACAAACAACAAACATTTGGATTGTGACAGACTAGAAGTGTCAAAGGACAAAGAGTCAAGACTGGGAGAAAAGCAGTTGTACCACACTGGGCATCAATTCAGCTGTACATATGTCCTGCTTGATCAGGTAGAGTTGGAAGGAATACGTACAGTTTGTCATTAGAAACCATATGCTACGAAGGCAGGAGAAAGAGATAAAGGAGACTAGGAATGAGTCTCACACGTGAAAAAGGTTTAGAATGACCTTCAGAACCCAAAATTAGAGTAACAGGCAGTGCAGATATCGAATATGGGGAGAAAACCTGTTCAAACAATAACTGATAACAGACTTCAGGAGAAATCATTCCAGAGCATGGAGATGAATTGGAAGAGATAATCACTACATTATTCCTTTACATGGTAGATGTATAGAATGAAGAAATCCAGGCACTAGCTGCTGTGAAAGAGAAATACTGAACGTTTTTCAAGAAACGAATGGGAGAGGGTATGTCAGAATAACCAGGAAGGAGGCTTAGTATAAGAGGAAGTGGAAAAATGGCAAAACAGGCAAAAAAGGAAAGTTACATGGCACTTATCACAAGAATTAGAAAAGGGCAATGGGAAGAGGATAGCAAAAGAAAAACTGGCAGTGTAAAGAAATACCATGGTTTCACTCAAGAAAGAGAAGGAAAGTATGGCAAAGAGAATGAAAAAGTGAAGTGAACCAGCTTTCTTCAGCAGAATAGGCACACACAGCCTGGAAGCAACTCTCAAAAGAACCAGGAAGGAGATTTACAGAGGGATTGTAAATCCACATGGTGAGGAAATGCAAATGAAGTGCAGAGCTCACATGTGGATAATCTCCATGTTTCAGATATGAAACAATTTGTTTTTCAAGTTCAGAGAAGGACATACTTTGCTATGTAATAATGCCACCTGTAGTACTGCCTGTAGCAGACCTTAGTCTAGGAATTTCTACACCTTAAAAACACGATCAGAATAATTTGGGTAAAGGAAAGCATGCTACTTTTAATTCTCACTGATTTTGAAAACCACGGGTGAAATGACTGCATGAAAACAATTCAAAATAACTCACAGAGTAGAGAGTGACATGTATACAGCACTTCAGCCTTAGGTTGATGCATTTTGTTATGCTAGAGCTTGTAAAGAGGTAAATCCTAATGTGTACAACACTGTAAAAACTGTACTACTGCGGTTATGTCACCCATTATACTCATTCATAATTGCCAGCAGAACCAGAAGTATCTAAGTCACATATGTTGCCAGCTACCAACAATCTAACCAAGTGTAGCTTTTCTACCTGAATGTTTCCTCTTGGAGCTGTTCTAGTTGTGTCTGCAGCTGCAGGTGCCTACGACCTGCAGGGCTGTTGGGATCTTCAATAGAATCAGACTGATTTAAGCGTTCCATCAAAATCTGGTTCTCAGCAAGCAGGCTGCTCTTCTCCTCTTGGAGGGCTGCAACCTGTTGTAATAAAAGCATGGACTAGAATAACTGACCTATGCAGCTACAGAGAGAAATATTTTTTTGTGCACATAATAAAGTATCAGCACAACCCACAAACAAAAACAAGCAGACTACAATAATCATCACATTTCACAGGAATTTACTGTATCATTTAATAGGCATTCAATTGTTAAGTGATGTAACCAACATATAGCAACATTAGGGGCAGATTTACCACACAGAAAATGTAATTATTCTTTAATGTATTTTGCACTGGCATTGAAAGAAGAAGTCTTTGTTATGACAGAAGATAACTTCATCACAATTAAGTCTGTATACTCTCCCAACAAACAAATAAAAGTAGCTCTCCGCAGTAAGGGCTAACTGCAAGCAGGTCCAAAACAGGAACACAGTTCCAAAGATGACTCAGTTTCCACCAACGCTGTGGAAACAGGCAGTGGCGTGAAGAACTCAGAGTGCTCCAACTCAAACAACAGCTGAAACATGGGTTCACATATTAACCATGAGCACACAGATCAGCTTAATTAATTCCAACAGTTACTGAACTGTTTGGCAAAAAGCCTGAATTATACTCCAAAACAGGGTTACAATGGCAAAGCCTTTCAGGGCTTCCTCCTTGCACTCCTCGTATCTTCCAGATGAGGTATGATTGACTAAAAGTAAAACTTAGTCAAAACCCATACAAAGATGATAGTCTGCAATAACTTCCTACTGGCATTTAACACTGAACTGAAACTGTTACAGCAGCAGAACTTGTATTAGTTCTCTACCGCAACAGTTCTACCACACAGCTCAAACCCTTCCTACTAGAATGAAAAAAAGTTTCATCAGTGTGAGTCATCTTCATACTGGCAACGTTGCATCAAGATAAGAAAACAATGACATTCATTCTGCTAGCACAAGTGAAGCAAAATAACTACTGTGCCATTTTCATCTCCCATTTAAAAATTGTTTTCCACACTATACTGCTTATTTTCAGCTGCCTAAAAGTTAACACATCTTTTTCCCCACTTGAAAATTAATACAGACGCTATAGCAAACTTACCTGCATATCTAACTCATGACATCTCTGGGCAATTTCTTCTTTTGTTGCTAATGCTTCATTTAATTCTTCTGTAGTTTTCTTCAGCTAGCATAAACAATAAACATTAACACTGTCATCACTCTCTGTGATCCAATTAAAAATATTCTGAACTACATGACTAAAATTTTCACATTTAGGTAATATATTAAATTTTTGAAAAGCTCAGGCAATTCCACTCTTATAAAGAAAAAAAGAAGCAGTTGTGATTACTGTTTAGTTTGTGTATTAGTAAAAAGTAAAAGTATCTAAAAGTAATATTTGCTCTTATATTAGAATTATCACATCTATTCTACGAATTGAGCCAAAAACACTTGAAGAACTCGGGTCTGAAGAACTCATCAAATCTCTACACTGAAAAAAATTGTCAATACCACTTTTCTTTACAGAATCAAAGAGTGTATAATTTAAATTTTCAATCTAGTTTTGAAAGGACTGGAAGGTGGAATACAGGGAATGGACAATTAGGGTAAAATCTCTATAATAAAGGAAGCTACTCTTAGTGCACAACAGGGATACAACTAATGTGGTGACAGAGAAGCCCACCATTCTGAAAAAGGGCACTGAATCTTGTAAGCAGTGGTAAATATTCAGGTATTTCCCTTCAAGGGCTCAATATTCAAAGACATGTATCTTGCCAGTTTACAAACAAATGCAGTTAACATAAGCACAGCTACAGGTGTGTGTATGTTATGCATATAGTCATAGATATAGACGTACTATTATATATGATGCAGTTTAAATGGGCTTTCTCAAATAGCATCATCATATCTGGTATGTGCAAGTTTATTTCTCAGGGCCTGTTTTCATACAGAAATTAATTTAATCTGCCAGCATTTACATATTTCTGCAGAAAAAGTATGATGGAGGGACACAGGGAAAACCACTGTATTATACTTCTCAATTAGAAAAAAAACTGAGGAAGCAGGATAGTGTTAGCATGAAGTTAAGTTAGCAAAACCAATTGGTTTTGCATATTTTTTAAATATATCAGACAGGGAAGGATTATATTTGAAAACTTCTCTTATGTACTGGACTGGTTCCAGGACCCCATATGTGTGTTTGTTTTGATTTGCGGTTTTTTTAAGTAACTTTGGGACTAGGAACTCACATAAAAAGTTTTATTCAAATACTACACATTTTTTATCCTTTCTCAATACCTAAAGATTTGTACCAATCTGCAGTTTACTTTATTATGTCATACAGCTAGACTGGTTTTCCAAATCAACTTTTTTTTTCCCCTTAAACACACAATAGGAGTAAACTCAATCTATAAACCTAAAGGACTCTGAAATTTACTACTGAAATATAGTTTTCCACTCCTCATTTGACTTTCCCACAAAACCATTTAATGATTAAAGAAAAAAAAAAGACAGAGTTCTTAATACAGAAAAAGGACTGGCCACTGATGTGCTATGATGGAAGGAAAAGAAACATTTGGTCTTAGATACCTGCCGATCAAGGTCAACGTAAGCATCATTTCCAACAGAGACTGGAGACTCTTTACTCATCAACTGCAATTAGATTACACTGGATTAGAAAAAACAAGGATTTACTTTTATATTAAAACCTAAGCTTCAACGAAATACCAAGCTTGTTTTTACTTTTGAGAGTTTTAATCTGACTTAATTTGAAAGTTTTTAACTTCATTTTTACATAAGATATCTTCAGAAACAAAAACAGAAAAAAAATAATCTTCCTAATTTATAATATTTAGAGTGTTACAAAAACCCCTTACATCATCTCTTTTTCTTCTGACAATGCACATTCTTCATCTATGATGAATTCTACAGTACACCCCACTAAATATTTTACTGAAGTGGCATTGGAATGATGGTAGATATTAACACACCATGCAAGATCTCCTTTTAATTGTTCTCTTCCAGTGGCTTTCATGCTTCAATTACCTGGAAGTTCACATGCATTTATTTATTTCACTAAAGTTTGGGACATATCCTCAGCTAATAGTGCAAAACAAAGATGAACAAAATTCTGCTCTGGAGTTGTCTGTAATTTTCAAATTTAAAGAGAAACTCTGTAGAGTGCATTTCTGAAATGAGTATTGCAATTCATTGTGTACTAACCTATTTTATTGCAGGAATAGCTGACGGTGGTTTTGTAATATTTAGAATATGTTAAAGAAAAAAAACAAAAAAAAAAACAACCAAAAACCAAAACCAACCAAATAAAAAAAACCCCAAAACAAAACAACAAAAAAACCCAAACCACCATCAAACCCTCAGCACAAAACCCCAAATCAAGTCCTACAAAATTGATTGATAAGCTTATTAAAAAAAAAAGAGAAAGAGCTGATAAGTTTTAAGAGCTCTCCAATGACACAATTCATGGATGTTCCAATCAAAAAAGCCCAGTTCTAACCAAAATCAGGACTAGATTTTTTCCCTAAGACCTCTGGTCCAGCCTGGTTACTCTCTCCAGAGACAGGGCTTCCTTTATTCCTTCCAGAAAACAGTGCTTTTGCATTACTTTTCCTTGACAAAGTTTTTGGCACAGAGCCTTCATTTGTTCTCAACCCTTTCTGTTTATACCACTGTGTACAAGTGAAAAATCTCTGTTTGACATTTACATCATTCAAATATTTATAAACTTACATATCTCTCCCTTTTCCCATATCCTTAATTGGGATTTACCTGCATAACTAATGCTTAAATTAATCTATCTGTCCTCAACAGTCCTCCTCAGACCTTGACAATGTTTGTCAAATTTCTTCCATTTTGTCTACATGTTTACAACAACAAAACCACTCCAAGATGAAGCACTGCATGGAGTCCAGACTCCCTGTAACAATAATTAGAAAGTCCCTAGCCTCAGAGCTGTCCCTGGAAAAATGAAGTCACATCTTTTTCATTACCATATATAGTGGCATTACAAACTTGTCTGTAATTTAAGGCCCTAATCTAAGCTGATTATCATTTAAACAAAAACTTCCAATCCCTCCCTGCTCTGTGATAAGTCTTACATGTTTCAATTACTGTATTTCAGTAGCTACTGTCAAAACGCTTTTCCAGATGACTAAAGGGATATCCCCTATTAACCAAATACTGAACTCCTCTTCTCTGTTTTATATCCCAAAACTGTTTGCAAACACTGGACGCGCGTGTTCACAAGCACACAAGTAAGTTCCACCCGCCAAGCCAGCACTTTCCAGCTGGCGGGTCCCGCTCAGCCCGCAGGGGTGTCCAACAACATGTCCCTAACAGCCGCCGCCCCTTTCTGGCCCGAGCACAACTTCCTCTTCAGAAAACCAGCTCAACCGACCTGCACAAGACCTACAGTAAAAGGAATACAAGTGACCGCACAACCCACTAGAGGCCACTGTGGTGTCACTGCTTCCCGTGAGTTGCCGTACAGGAAGCAGGCCAAGGCCACTAATATAATCCCTATTTTCTTCAGGGAGTTTTGTCATCTCTCGCCAAACACGCTGTTCTGGAAGAGCCCTTAAGCAGAAATGTCCAGAAAAGAGGACATTATCTGGAGCAGGAATAGGCAGTGGAGATATGTGGTCTGGGTGTACCCTGAATGTTACACAGCACTTGTGAATTTAACTCCACGGGGTGCGTTGGGAATGTCATGGAAAGCGTGCATGAGGCACTGAGGGTGAGAGTCATAGACACACGTGCAGATGACTGACTCAGTGCAACAGGAAGCACCTTGCAATCTGACGGCCTGTGCTATGGTGGGAATGCTAAAGATGAAATCTAAGGGATTGTTTTGTGTTCAGTAAGTCGCACAACTAGACAAAGAACAGGAAGGATACTGACAGATAACTCACAACTAACACAGGAATCCAACTTCAGATCAACAGTTAATAATAAACTGAATTAAGGAGTGGGATGAAAAGGTATCAGGGCAAAGGAGTGCATCCATCTTTCCCCTACACACCTCCCCACACACTGGGAAAATGGTTTATGCAACAAAATGTTTTAACCACATTCTGCTTCTGGATTGCCTCTACACAGTTTCTCCCCACTTAATAGGAAACACTTTACCCTAAATAGCACAGCCAACAGAGCACAACTCCACCCACCTATCCAAACTTTTCTCTCTTTAGTCAGATTTTCTGAAAATTTCAAGAAAAGTTTTACTGAATGCTGTGTCTTAGGATTCCATACAGATATGTTTGTCAACTCAAAGCACACACTACAACCTTCCATCCACTTAAAAAATACAAGGTAACAGGTTTGCCTAGTTTCCTCCATTCTTCACTTTGTTTCTGGTCAATCTGCATTCTCTGATATTACCAAAATTTAGAGCTCCAAAATGTTCATTTAATCAGTTACATGCTCAATGGCACATACATTATTTATTACTAATCTGATGATACTAGCAAGTTGATACTAATTTTTAAATCAAATTTACTTATTGAGTCTGCTATATATCTCCTTCACTTAAAGCTCATATTCAGAAAAACTTCATTAAATACAGCTGTTCTTTCAGTGCTTCACACGCAGCCTGCAAGTGTGATATTAGAACATGTGGAATTGAGAGGTACGGATCAATGCCAAGACTTTTGAGTTTACAGGGTCAAACTTCATTTCATTTGTATTTCAAATAAGTTAAGAGAGTAAAAAGCAGAAGGAAGTGGCCTTCTCAGTCTCCCCTTACAGCTTTAGTTTTCTTCTGGAGCAGACTACAGGAGGAATAAAGGTCTGCCTTCACGATTTTGCAGCACTGGAACTGGCCTTCAGTTCCAAGCTCATCATTTAGCTTAAGTATAAATATTATCACTTATTTTCACCTGTAACTTTAATGGAGGATGATGTGCAGAAATTATAAAAAGGGAAAAAAAAAGAAGTGCCAGCAATATCAAGCAATTGCACTAGGTGTCTACATGAGAAGAAAAAGCCTGCTTAAGAGCTTCTGACAGTGAAATGAACTAGCATTTACTGCCTTTTTCTTTTTCCGGTTTATTTTGCATAAAAAGGTCAGTCTGGATTTTAAATGGTGCAATAACCTGGACAACATGATAATACTTATAATTATTTGTGTAGTTTTATGAGTAGCAGTTGTCATTCCACGTTAATCCTTTACATATGTACCTCTTCATGCTCACAGCCTTGGTATGATATCTCACAGAACACTTGAAGGTCTGCTAATCCTATACTATTAAAACCTTCACTTTTTAATTGCTTTCCTTGGGAAATGTGAACAAGTTGTGTTGTCATGGATACATAAAGATTAGGGAATGGGTAAAACTGTCACAAAATCTGCATGCATGAATAACCTGAATTATGAAAGCTTTTTTTCCCCTATACATGATTTTGCAAATGCAGCTGAACCATTCAGTTGATGATTTTAACAGTCCAAAACACTTGCTTTATCTGAAATGCTTCTTCTATAATGATAATATTTTACAAGCTCATTTAAGTGTCCACAAAACAATGACAAAATCTAGCTTCTGTACTCAGGTTTTCTTTTTTGAAACATTTTTATGTTTGTTTTAAAGAATCAAGGCTATGTATGACACTGTGTATCCTTTAAAGCAGGTAGACTTTCTTCCTCCAGTTGGTATTCAGTCTATCCTCCAGTCTATCTGTTGACAGACACAACAAAATACTTTTGTATTATTTCCTAACTACTAAAAAACCACTTTTACTTCACACAAGATAAAGCTTGAAACAGTCAAGACAAAATACAGCAGGGGAAAAACCCACAAAACCAAACAGTGGAAGTAACACAGTCAGTATTAACCCAGACAGTAAGTTCCTTTTCCTATTCACCCCAGGCAAGTTTTGACACTACCTCTAGTACTGTTCTGACTCTCAACTTGACCTGCACAGACACCTGCTAAGTGATCAAGTTTAGAACATCTCTAAACAGCAAAGGCAAGCAGATTATTTGCCTCAGCTACCGCCTTCATAAATAATGAACTTTGCTGCTCAAGAAAAAGACTTGGGAAAATGACAGCAGAACTTCCAAAAGATGTCAAGGAAAGGAAAAGAAAGAAAAACACATCATGGCCAAAATAATTTCTATAAGAAAAGATTTGGGGCCTTAAAAAAATCTAAAAACTATGAAATTATAAATAACTGTAATATTATGCATATTAATACATGAAATCCTCTATCTTGTGCACAGCTTGTCTTTAGATACGTACATGTGAAGACTAGCATCTAAGAATCTCGGTGGTGGCAAAACACCAGATCAATTTGTCTACACTGAACAAAAGAACACTGTTATTTGTTAATAACAAGCACTGTTCAATTTATAAAACCTTATGGAGCACAAGGCATATTTTTAAACATTTAAATAAGTGAAGAAAGGAAATGTTGAAAAGTCACAAGTTATTAAAAACTAAAATAAAATAATCGACTAAAATTTAGAACGTGATATGCTGCTTCTTCCATTGAAAAATCACCTTCTACATGCAAAAAAAGTAGATAAAACTTGTTCTACTGCGCCTTATGAAATACTTTCCTGAGTAAGATGACTTATGAAAACCAAAGAAGCATCAAAAAAAATTTATATGTGCTCGACTGAAACAGAAAAATAAATTTCATAACACATCAGTAAAGCTGAGAGAGGTCTTCTGACATACCTAATTTTAAAGAAAGAGTACCTGCAATGTCAAATACTTTGGAGCGTTTGGACTAGGTGACGTACAGCAACTTTTCAAACATGTACTTATAGCTACTTTCCTAGGCATCTTATTTTGGTGCCTCCTACATATTGCTTATTCCAAGTCACTTGAATTCTGAGAGTTGCTGTGAGTCCAAGAAACAGAAAATCCTCCTTAAATCCAGTGAAGTTTCACCCCATGTGAATCTGTGCTGGCTACGACCTAACTCCCAGAATAACCTTCTCCACAACTTTGCCAAGCACTGACGTGAGGCAGGCCTGCAATGGCCAGTGTCTGTCTTCTTTCTCTTCTTGAAAATTTGGATAATCTTTGCCAGCTTCCAGTTGACCCCGGACTTCCCCAGACATCAAGCCCATTAAAAAATAGTGGAGGGAGATCCCGCTCTCAAAGTGTATCAAAGTCTGAGACGCTTTCTCCCCTCTTCACTGAGCACCTGAGAACCTCCTCATTTGGTCCTGAAATGCCTTGGATTTCTAAGCAGCTTGGAAAGTAGCATTAAAATCACTCAGAACTGGGCCAGTACCTGAATAGTAAGCTTTTTGATTCAGGGGGTTTCAAAAATCTGTTCCAGAAAAACAGACCCAGTGATTTCTCCCCTACTTCTACTCACCAGCTCAGAGAAAGGGCACAAACACTAAAAAACTTCAAAGTTTACCCATCAAAAATGCTGAAAATTGTGGACTGCTTCAAATCTGGCTATTATATCAAATGAAGAAGACTTTTAGAAAAATTAAATAGGAGATTTTTAACAGAAAGAGGGAGGATAAAATAAGGTTTTCTATTTCAAGGTAGTGCAGAATACAATGATGCTGAAATCTGGATTTAATAAAAAGTATTAGAAAGATTCACTAAAACACTGTGTTTACAGTTACAAAAAAGTAGAAAAAAGTAAAATATCCCAAAACTCCAGCAAACTGGTGCTTAGCAGCACTGACTGGAAGATGATTTAGCGTAACAATTCTTTCAATGCTCATTTCAAAAGTCTGCTCTGCATGGTTGTAGACAGCACTCCACACACAGACAACTGAATGTATGACTGCATGGTTGAAGTGATGACAGGGGACAGGGTCCCTTATAGCCTTACTAATACCTCTTTCTATATTCAGACATTCCAGAGAAGTGAAATTGCTCCAGAGCCTAATGTGGAACTTAATTTCTCTTGTTCAGGTTCAAAAGAAATCGGATTACTAGTGGTTTCCAGCTTTCCTTAGTGGCCTGCCCCGCAGTAAACCTCCATCTATGAAGACTGATAGGCATTTCACTTGTGGGCATTTTGGGCTCATAAGAAGTTACATGGGGGTTTCATGGCTCTAGTGGCTAACACTGTGGTTTTAACTACAAATGCACTGGAGTATAACAAACAACTAACAAAATGCACTGGAGTATACTCACTAACTTGTAAAAACATAGCAGCCTATTATATTATTCATATATATTCATATTATTTATCATTACATATCATTATTATGTATCATAACACTACAGCTGACAGAAGAATACTCTGCTCTCCAATTCTCTTCCTTCTCACTTGTCAACAAAATTAAAAAAAAAAATTAGCAGCCCATGAAGTTTTGCAATTTCAAGGTACAAATTTTGATGAAATTCTACAGTATTTGGTTACCCATATAAAATCAGTCTAGTGTACTTTAGGATTCACAGGGTGGGAAAGGTAAAGGAAAGGGAACCCAATATCAAAAATATCTAGAAGTTCCAGTCTTCTAGATTTAAAGAAAAGTGGGACATTGAACCAGAGTTCCTTGACATAAAGCATGATTTTTCTAAGGAAAAAATAAGATATTTTTCCCTGTAAAAAGGCAAAATCTACCCCCCGTTATTTTCTTTACTTCCAACTAAGTTTTTCCAAAGCATATTGTTGTAAAATAGTGAAAGGCAGAACTTTTACACACTGTGGGCATTCCAGCATACCTCCTGAATGGCTGTCATGACAACATGTTGAACTGATTCTTCCATCATCATTATGGTCTGGATGTACTCTGAAAAAAAAAAAGGCCATTTTGAAATGTCATTGTTGAAGTTCAACTCAGAGAACAGAAGATCAGAAGCTGCATCCTTCCTACAAAATGAGTAGGTGCCATGGATGACACTGAAATGCATAATCACCAGTCAAGTCCCACCGCAACAAACTCAATAGGATTTTATCAGAAGTCTGTTCAGACATAAATCCAGGCTTATTTGAACTCTACAACAACAAAAAAAGTACATAATTATTTTTTCTTTTCCTTCTGGCACCTCACAGTTCTGTTAAAACTAATTTCACTCCTTTTCTCTGTTTGTTCCCAAACTATTCAGGCTCTTCAAGTACACAATCCATGCATAGGTTGTTCTTTTCCGTAAGTTTAACAATAATGTCCTGCCTTCCTACAGCATCCTCATTTCAAAGCATTTTCACATCCATTCTTGCTATCTGTTATTATTCCTGTGTTACACCACAAATTAAGTCCCCCTCCACTTTTTCACTCCTCACCTATGTACAGATGAGTTACACATGAGGTACTTTGCGAGACAGTATAGTGATCAGAAGGGCAAATTCTGACATTTAGACTAAGTTAATGACTTGCCCAGTATAATGCAGTTTCCAGATAGATATGATCTCCTTTATACATGACCTGTATTCTTTTAATAATGTGCCTAAGAGAAAGACATTGGGGAAAAGTCACCCCTAACTGGTTAATTAGCTTATGCCAGATCTCACTCCAAGTACATAAAACTAGACTGTTCTGATATTTCAGACATGTACATTTTTAATGTCCAAACCGAGACAGTAAAGGATAGACAAGAATAAGATATACTTCCCACCTGAGGGTGACAAATAGTCACCCAAAGGAAGGAAGATAATTTTTCAGAAAACAGAGAGGACAGGAGGGTTAATAAACCAGAGTTATTTATATACTCATGGAATAACATTCCCTCTACTTTAATTAATAAGATAGCCAGACCATCTCCTGTTTAAGAGAACAAAAGTCATTTCAGAAGGAGAAACTAAAGTGATTTAGTCACCTGAGAAAACTGAAAGGGGAAACTAGCAGTAAAAGTTAAGATGAACCAAGCAAGAGGAAGACAAAAGGTCTTAAACCCTGGCTGCCACCAAAACCAAATTGAGTTAAATCAGAAGAGACATATATTTGGTGCAACTGTAATGTAAATACAGTAGAAATAGCCTTATTTTCCCAAACGTGTATTTTGTATTCATATGACTATGTTTTGTGTTTTAAGTGTTTAGAATAAATGTTTGCAGTTGCTCTCAGAAACTACAGTGTCCCAGATCACATCAGACACATCTTCAGACAAAGTCTTCACCTGTGTAGTTAAGGTAATGACTGGAATGCATTCCTAAAATCAGGAGTCACACGGAATAATGCAACAATCACATATGTCCATTCTTAACTACCCTGATCTACCTCATAAATGGTTAAAAGGTAGGGCCCAAGAACTTTCCTTTGTAGAGTGATTTTTCAGCTCAGCAAACCCAAATTGAAAACATGTATGTTGGAAGCAAAATCAATTCCACAGTGTGAGTCTCCAAAACTAAGGAAGCTTACAACAAAACAACAGTCACTATCTGTAGGACAAAATCATGTCACCACTGAAAAAAACCTGCATTTGACTCTGACAGAAACACAGGAAATATAATTTTTCCTCTAAGTATTTACATAACAAGCAAGAAAACACGCTTTGAAAATTTATTACCTTGCTTCTGTTCACAATTCACAGCGCATCCCAAAATAAGCTGAAGCATTCTCCCAAGCTCTGCAGCATCAGCATGCTCTCCAATCAGGTTAACATCAGGAAGGGTGAAGTCATTTATCTGTTGCCCCAGAATCTGTGTAAAGACCCAGAACTTACATGGCTGTATCACTGCACATATACATACACACATATTTTGTACAACGATGACTCATAATCAACAAGAGCAGTTCACTCTTACTTTAAATCCACCTTTAAAACAAAGTAAATCGCCTAATATCCAAATATTAAATCATACTGTTTGACACAAATAATATTTGGGAGAAGACAAACATGACGCTTATGAGCATGGACTCAAAAGCAATTACAAGTTACACACTTGGCAAGATTTCTTTTCTTCAGATAAGAAGGTAACAAAAGCAGGCCACCACATGGACAACTGATTTTTTTTTTAAAGCATTCCACTAAAAAAACCCAACACCTAAAAACACCTCATGTAGCATAAAATATTATACACAAATCTGACATTTCTTACTACTATAAAGCCAAGAAATTAAATATTTCACCTATATAATACATATGTCTAACACTGACAGATGAAAAATACAAGCAAAAAAACTCAGATCACTAAGCCTTGCACTTCTAGCAAATTTAAGGATAACTTGCAAGTCTCACAGCTAAGAGAGATGTTCCATGGAAGATAATCTGAGTTAGTAGTACAATGATATGTAATTAAACAGCCCACATGCAGAAAGAAAGAAAAAAACCAACAAAACAAAAGCCCATGTGACTCACAATAGTGTTATCTGATTTATCATTAAGACTACATTAATGATTGTCAGTAGATGGAATTAAACAATTCTGCTAAATTGCTCTTTATTGAAGAGAGGCTTGAAAATATGAATATGAAATTTGGAATTAAAACACATCTATGACACATTAATTGCAGATAAAAAGAAACTAACTTCTTAAACAGGGTGTAATAAGGAAACAATGACTATAGAGGGAATCAATCGTTTGCTGCTTGCCCTTTTGTGCAATACTTGAGAAAACAAGAAACCAGGTAAAGGTATTTAGAAAAAGTATGTAATGTATATGAAGATCACAAAGAAAAACAAGGCACTCAGAAGTTTTCTGGAGTTGGGTTTTGTGGAAGTGTTGTGGTTGAGTTTTTCTTGTTGTGTATGGTGCTTTTTGTGTTGTGGAATTTTTTAAACAGTTTTCTCAAAGAATTAGCTTCAACACTACTAAAAATATCTGTATACTTTAAAGGACCCAAATTCACTCCTGTTGGAAAAAAAAACAAACCTGAAAGAAATACGAAAATGGAGGATAGACTCTGCAGTAACTATTTTGTGATGAAAAAGAGCATTTAACCCTTTTTCAAAACGTTACAAAATACCTTTAAAAACTAAATAAATACCTTTACAAAAAAATTTTAAAATTTCAGTTCCAGAGGAGTAGAATTCTGCAGCAAGATTAGTGGGGCACAACAAAGCATGCGAGCTATAAACACTTAACTTTGGCTTCTTGTTCTTCCATACTATAATTGATAAAGACAGCAATGTAACATAGCTATTGAAAGACTGTCCTCCTGAACACAACACAAATTTCTGAATTCTGGAGAATGGAAAACGTTAGCACGTACATTTTTCAAAGTCTTTCAGCTACATCAGGTAAATTCCACATGCAATCACACCTACATTTTAGTACAAGGTGGCTCTAGGAGAAGGAATCAGATTGAGGAAAACATAAGCAGAATTCCTAGGAGAATCCTGTCATCTCAACTATCACCACCAGCAGGAAAAAAAAAAAGAAACTAAACCAAAATCCAGTCAGACTTATAAATGTGTATTATCTTTGCAGAAGTTAGTCAGCTTGAAACAGCTCAGAACTTGCCTAGTAGTAAAGTTTTCACACCAGAGACTTAATCATCATATATACTAACCAGCCAAAAAGAATCTTGCATCACTTTGTCTTAGTAATATTAATTTTCCATAACAAAACCCCAATGTTTCTTTTTAGTATTTCCAGTTATGACCAGCTTGCCTAACCACCGATTTTCAACATTTATTTCAACATGGACACCTAACTATTTACTGAATGGCTCATAAGTCTAACTTTTTTTCTGAAAGACTTCAGTTTATCAACAAATAACTTAATCTCTGAAGTATTTATGAGAAGCTAATATTTTGAGACAAGCATAGATTTTGTGCTGCAGCCTGTACAGATCAATTTGTCTCAAAACATCACTGAAACTGAAAGCATATTTCAGCTGAAGATTCACCACTGGAAAAAACATTGTATTCTGACTCCTCTGTAATGGTTAATTTCTGAGTTTGCTCAGAATAAGAGAAAATGCCAAGGGGTGATTCCAATATTCCAGAATTAGAATATTTCATATAAAATCTTAATGTGGGGAGAGGCAAGAAATGCTTTACTCTCTCTCCTTATGAGAAAAATAAGGGAAAAGGTAGACTTTAGCTGCAGAGGAGGAGGGGAAAAAAAAAATCAAACACAGCTACTGTTGAAGTCTATGACCAGAACATACTCAGTAAAGCCATCTACTGTTTGTATGACAGAGTTTGCACATCAGGCTCCCCTGGGACCTCTGAGTAGTCAATAAAACAGGTGAGAAGTTTTAGAGAAGGCTAAGACTAGGGAATAGGCCAGGAATCACAATCTATGCCAAGAAAACATCAGTACTTAACCTGTAGAATACAATTTATATTCAACGGGTTAACTAAAATATGTAACTAAAAAGGCATGTAGATGTAGATTACTTAAAACCATTCTTACCTCATGATTGTAATCCAATATTCCCTTCAAAATTTTCTTCAGGTTGCTTACCTATTTGACAAGAAGGAGGAAATACAATAAATACAGGAGATAAATTACAGAGAAATGGTCTTAAAGTAGGTAATCACAGAGGAATCACACAAAAGAAGCATATAATTACATAATCATGAAATTTATGCAATAGTCTCTTATGATCAGACTTCCAGACAGGTTCACAAATCTTTATTAATTGGAAGAACCCATTTCTATTTATGAAAAAGATCACATTGTCTTGGATAGGCTTTAGATCAAATTTTAAAGCACAAATTTTTTTTGAGTATTTGTTTATCTTAGGATTATCTTTGTATCCAGAAGTTGAAGCATTCTTTTCCTCCTTTCTTCTCTTGAAGTATCCTAGCAATCCACTCTCTGCAGAGGTAAACCTCTTCTTCCAAACCAAAACCAGCTTTTGCTCAATATTCTCCTTTATTCCCAACCAATGTAAGTTTAAATTGTTATCTTTCTCAATAATTATTCCTCTTAGTTCTTTCATTTTTATTCTTGTCATTCCCTCCCCACCCCCCTCTCATTTCTTACAATTGAATGTCTGTCTTACAGTATCAAGGCAAAATTCACATTTCTCAGTGATGACTTCACTGCTATACAAAGGTAGCTTCTGTTCACTTGGATAACCAATGGCACCAGTTAAGTGTCTCCTGCTGTACAGAATCTCTGCCACATTTCCCTAGTACTGAATACTGCTCCCTTTCCAAAAACCCATTTGCATCACATCTCTGAGAATAAAGGGTGTGTTTAAAATTATAAAAATGCCCAGTGGGTCTCGTAGGTGAAATTTAGACCAAAAAAAAAAAGGAATCTTTGCTGAAAGTAACCGCAACAGATTACCACCAATTTATGTCCAAGTATTTAGGCAAAGAATTCAGATAATAGTAGCAGTGCACTGTTTCCTGGGATGGAGGAGCAGTTGAGGGAGCTGGGGTTGTTTAGCTTGGAGAAAAGGAAGCTTAGGGGTGACTTTATCACTCTCTGCAGCTACTTGAAAGGAGATTGTATCTAGGGAGTTTGTCAAGTTGTGCCAGGGAAGGTATAGCTCAGGTATTAGGAAGCATATTTTCACCAAAAAGAGTTACCAAGCATTGAAATAGGCTGCCCAGGGAAGTGACTGAGCCACCATCCCTGGGATGTGCAAAGAGGTGTGAATGAGATGCACAGATGTGGGTGCGTTGGGACGTTGCTTATTAGTGGCCTTGGTAGGGTTGGGTTTCGGTTTGATTCTATGATCTTAAGGATCTTTTCTGGCCTAAATGATCCTATGACTCCATGAGGTCTAAACAGGATCTGCAGAGAATGAAAGTGATTGAAATAGGATTCACAAAGTTCTGTTGCTGACTGCAGTAGCCACAGCAGCAAACTGAAACTATAATGAAGGGAGAGCAAAACCTCTCAAGTTCCAACTGCTTTTGAAGCGCACAATAACTTTTATACTCTTGATTGCATTCCAGAAATACTTAATTAGGAGATTCTGTACACTGACAGAAGTCATTTACCTTTCAAACAATACGATGAAGCACTGTTAGGAAACATGATACTGAAATCCAGGGAAAAACTCAACACTTCAACACAGTCAACAGACAAAACGAGGTGATGAAAGCAAAATCCAAACTCAAGAAAGGAACAGACTACACACACACACTAAAAGATTTTTGCCATGAGATCCACAGTGATAACATCTGATTACCTTACTCCTATTAATCCACTCCCCTTTGGAAAGAAGTGCCAGAAATTGATCCCTTATTAAGATGTAATAACATTTTTGTCTTCAAAATCACTGAATTTTAAGTGACACAAGAAACAAAAACTCATTTGGACTTGAAAAGTGACACATCAAATACCCTGACAACCTAGAATGAGAACTGGAGATGCTACTTTATAGTAAGTATATAACAACATTTACTGTTCCTCCCATAACAGCATAATAATTAGTTTACACCTTCTACTCTGGAACATACACTTTTTCTGCACTACTCAGCATGTTTCTGTAAGAGCTACAACTATCTCTTAGCTGTCTACCCAAAAGCAACCACCACCACCAGTCAAATGAGATGCACAATCATAACCAAAGTCTGCAACAGATTTAAGAATTTAAAGAAATTAAGAAATTTTATTTTTAAGTCAAATCACCACGAAGAATACTGCACTGATTGGAACATAATTTTCAAACTTGATTCATTAAAATCTTCCAGTTTGTAATTTACCTGAGTCTGCTGCAGAAAGAGCCACAGAAACGCAAAGGCCATGTTGCAGAATTTAAGTCCAGTTTATCGATGAGAACATTGTGAGGAACCTTGAACTTGAACATAATCCCAAAAAAATGAGAAACAAAATGGAAAGTATCCACCTATGAAATACTTCATTTCCCCTTTCCTTGTAAGCATTTTTTAATTAAAAGCCCTTAAACACAAAGAGTCACCTTCCTCCATATAACCTTCATAAAGCTTAGAGTTGAGATACTGGAACAAAACCAATATTGATCAAAATCTGTCACAAAAACTAGCATATAGGGCAGAATCCTTGGAAAAAGGGAACAACAAACAAAATCAAAAAGAAATCTTGGCTTTGCAATCCTATTTTATTCCACTGTCAACCAACAATATTAGAGTAACTTGCTTTCAAGAATTAACTGTACCATCTTCGTATCTGGCACACAATCAGCCAACTGTGAGGGTAAAGCAGCTTCTTTATAGACTGACTTAAACTTAACAATGATTTTCAGTATTACTCAGAGGGCTCTCAGCTTTTTTTTTTTTTTACACATTTGCAGTGAATATACTTAGATGGTTCTACTTCCACCAGCAGAGAGAGAATCATCACAGAGAAACTACCACCAATGTTTTGTACTTTGAGATTCAACTCAGTAGCTCCACTAACATTTCTGAGGTCATAGCACAAGGAAGGCAGACTTTAAGCAGCTGAATGAAAATGAACAGCCTGAGAAAGTGTAAAAGACAACCAATTAGATGAGAAATCTAAATCACAGCAGGTGATGGTTGCTCAGAATTATTTTTCTCTTTCTTAAGCACATGGGGAAAACCTAACTCTAGTTAACGAAGATCATTAAATTATGTAATGACAGAACACAACAGATAGAATTTCAAATATCAACCATGACTATTAAGTGTCATATCATCCTTTGGACATCAGCCCATGACTACATGGGATGGCTGTTTGCTTGCATCAGCAATATGACTTCCTCCTTTTCCGTACAAAGCACATACACTACACTTCCAATCCCTTTTAACATCCATTCCCTGCATCCATACCTCTGTTGGAAAACACATGAAACTTCCTGGAGCAAAAAAAAGTCACAACTATGCTCAAAAGCTGTTGCAGCTCACAATAGATGGACCATTAGGTGTTTCTAGACAAATCTCTATCCATTTTCGATCTCTTTTTCCCTCTGCCCTTTCTGTTTTATTTCCCCAATTTCCTTTTACAAAGGGCGGGAGCTAATGCACCCACAAAGGCAACCTGCATGTCCTCAATCCTTCTTTGAACACTTAAATTTCAATAATAACCACAGCAGAGCTGTGTGAGTGTTCTCCACGTTAAATGATCATTACCCTCCCAGGTAACAGCCATCTGGCTATAGTACAGTACTACATACTTAGCACAGAGCTTTCAGTATGAGACTGACTCTTAGTACACAGCATTAATCCGATAAATTGACTGGAATGAATGTTGGGATGATGCGATCTGGCAACACCATACAACTCAATGTTTGGTCTTTTTTTCTCCTATTTTTATTTTCTTCTCACCTGTCATATGAAATCTCTATTTATTTAGTTACAATTTACTCCCTGTTTCCAACCTCAGGTCTGTCTAGATTTCTCTTTTTACAAATTTAGTTGTGTAACAAAGGGAAAGCCTGATGAAGTGGACAGCAGAAAATGCCCTTAAGCTTGTGATGGTTGACAAAAAGGGGGCATGGGTTATCTAACCTTTTGTTTTTTCTCCAACATTATAACAGCCAGCCCCCAATTTTGCATTATTCTGACATCACATGTATGATTGAAATCCTGTTTGTGCTGAACACACTGTGTGAATTGATTTATTTTTGTTTATTTCAGATCCTGAGTAACCTCTGGAAGTGTTGCTATGGCGCACACTCAAGCGTTTCAAGAATTCAGATATCTCATTAAGGTGCATTCTTCCCATCTGCACTTAAAAGAGGGGTGAGGGGAGGAGGGGTAGGTGGGTGTGGGAGTGTGGGTGGGGAGGGAGTGTGTGCATGCATTGTTTGCATTGTTCCCACCAGACACACTGGGTTTCTGACTTATACTGCATCTTGCAGAAGCATGTCTCATCGATGATTACAGATGGAACCTAGAGAAAGATTATACCATTAGCTTTGGGGGCTATTCCCCTTCAGACTGTCTTCTACAGAAAGAAAATTCCCAAAAGAACATATACAGCCACATCCTTGGCAAGGAAAGAAAAATTAAATGTGGGTCTGAAAACAGACAGCAGTCCCACATGCAACTTATATTTGGAGATGCTGTTGACTTAGGAATTAAGGGTATATCAAAAGAGAATAAAACATATCAGTTGCTAATTATCTTTGTGACAGAAATGAATGCTGGCTTACAATACACCTATAATCTCTGCTTCTTGCTTGAAGAAAAAAAACATTCACATGACAGACTTCCACCATAACAGATAAAAACCCTTTAAAAGGATGCTGATGAATAAGTGCTCCTTACCCTGCAAAAGAACAAGAAAGTAGTAGCAAAACAATACTGTACACTGCAAACCAGCTTCCACTACTCCATCAGTCAAGCCAGCTTGTACTGCAGAAAAATTCAGAGCGAACACAACTGTACTACTGCAGGGAGTCAAAATTAATTCTCAAAAATCACGTTTGTTTACTTAGATTGCAGCATTCATTGGTTATTCCATTTTGCAATATTATACCAAACAGGTATCACTCAAACTGTACTAGTTGCAGAAAGTCCAGTGGCTCCAGCTGTTTGAATGTGCTATTCAGTACTGGAACAAACACAGCTTGCTACTATATACATCGATAAAATTGTACTTTAAACTGATGGTGTAGTCTGAATGCCAAAGCAAAAAGTCCAGAAGTCAAAAATCTTCCTTTCCCAAGCTTCCCACACTGAATGGGAGGAAAAAAGGGGTGACAATTTTATCCCATGCCTCAGACAGTCAACAGTTTATTCAGTAATTGCCAAAACTGACATGTGTGTATCAAATCAATAACTTTTACCTTGATTAAGGAATTTCATTCCTGGAAAATTTTAGCAGCAGAACTCCTTTCTATGCTGTCTTCCATTTTTCAACAAAGGTTTTATGTTCAAGATGTCATCTTCTTCAGCATGAAATTGTACATAATTTAAACTCTGACTATATTAAAGTGTTCAGTTGTACATAATGAAAGAGATAATGGATTTGCTTTTTTTTTTTAACCATCATAAAATTGCAGATGAAAAGTAAGTTTCTTTGTTGCCCAAAGGAAGACACAAACTGTTCTGCATGCCGGTGTATGTAACCCTGACGAAGTAACATGTTTCTCTACTAAACACTGGTCAGCTGTAAAAACTAGAATGTTTGCTGAATGGTTCCTACTTTGCAAGTCCCCTGAGTTCTAACATTTCCCTTTTTCTATCCTGTGCATTTCTCAATCTCTCAAGTCTGGCAACTTGCCCTGAAACCAAGAACATAAAAAGATCCTTGTGAATTTATCTGTTTCTTTTAAACTGGTACAGCAACAGGCAAAATATTTTTAACGACCACATTATTGCAGTTATCAAAAAATGAACTGCTAAACAAAAAAAATAATGAAACCTGAGCCATATATTCTTGTTATTCTCCATATAGGACAACACACAATTTAAAATTAATAATCACATCACTCATTACCTTCTCCCAGGTAACAAGTGACAGGACAGAACAGGACAGAAGGAAATAGCCTCAGGTTGCGCAAAGGGAATTTTGGATTAAATATTAGGAAAAAACTTTCATGGAAAGTGTTGTAGAGCATTGGAACAGACAGCTCAGCCAAGTGGTGGAGTCACCATTCCTGCAAGTGTTCAAAAAATATGCAGATATGGCATTTGGGGATACATTGTAATGGTGAACATGGTAGTGGCACTAGGCTGACAGTTAGATTTGATCTTAAATGTCTTTTCCAAGCTTAATAAGTCTATTATTCTATCATTTTCTGAGTACTTCTATCAACAGTGATTAGGAGGGCTGTACCAGGCCTACACTTACCTCTGCAGGCCCTCCTAACCACAGTTTCACAAAGCAGAACTACCTGTATGTCACATTTTGGATTGTTTTTATATATGTTCCCCTACCAGACTGGCTCCTTCATGTGGTTCATAACACTGAGAGCTTGTACACGTGGTGATTATTATACCATATGGTGTCAGAGGCAAAGAGTGACTATGTTCAGCAAAAGGAATATAATGCAGTCATTTTCACAACTTGTGAGGCAGTGAGGTAATCCAGTTATCATTTCTCATGGCACTTCTCAAAACACGAAAGGAAATCTACAACATGGAGTCATTCAAGTATGCTGTCTACATGTGAAATCTAGTAACAAACACATGCCTAAAAGAAGGCTGCAGTGAGGTGGGGGGGTCAGTCTTCTCCCAGTTAGCAAGTGACAGGACAAAAGGAAATGGCCTCGAGTTGTAACAGGGGAAGTTTAGACTGGCTATTAGGAAAAAATCCTTCACCAAAAAGGCTATGCAGCATTGGAGCACGCTGCCCAAGGAAGTAGTGGAGCCACTGTCCCCAGAGGTATTTAGAAGATGTGTATATGTGCCACTTGGGGACATGGTGTAGTGGTGGACTTGGCAGTGCTGAGTTAACAGTTGGACTTGACGATCTTAAAAGTCTTTTCCAGCCTAAATGATTCTATGAATAGAAATGCACAGACTGAAGTGTTCCCACAAGCCAGACTATAAATGACTGATTGGCTGATAGACATCTACTAATAATGTTTACTCACATATAAAGAAGAACACTTGGCAAAGTATAGGATTACTTTTCTGGTTAAAAAAATAAGAGTTAAAGTATCACACTTATGTCTTTTAGTATTCTTCATGAAAAGGGAAGTGCTGTACAAAAAGCTGAATTATACATCTTTTTTAAACAAAAAATAATCAGTCTTTAGTTCTTGTTTACATAGATACATGAAAAACAAGATGGAATGACATCAGAAAGAAACTGAAATTTGACCTGATGTTTTTCCACTCTCAGTCACATAAGGAAGTTACTAGATTGCTCAGCTTTTTTTTTTTTTTCACACCTGCTAAGCCTTGCATCTGCCAAATTGGTGGGAGACATAAAATAATATTTATTCCTCAAGCTCCATATGACAGCCACAGAAGCTGCTGCTCTGCTTTCAATCAGCTGAAATGCTATTATAACAAACAGTTCTCAATTTGTTGTTCCCCACATTAAACAGCCAAGACTTCAATATGAAATACTTAGAAAATACCTCCAAAGAAATATTTTACAGAAAAGCAAAATCTTGTATCCAGCTGTTCATTCGCAATTCCATACACTTCTTTGGAAAGGTCATTTAAATGAACTGCCCTACATGCAGCAGAACTCAAAAGAGTTTTAAAGCTTTTTTTAGGGATCATGTCCTTTATTCACCAGTCAGTCAATATATCCTCATCAATGTACCCACATTTTTGCTGGCAGCCCTACTAGACAAAACATTCTAAAGCATTCCAGACTTGCACACAGCTGGCCAGACAGCAGATACCACGCCGACAGGTCTACTGACCAAATCAAAACATACACAGCAGCAGTGTGCTCCATCTTTGTCTCAGGGAATTCAGACAGTGATGCTGACAAGCCTGCAAGTACTAAAGCATTTCACAGCTGTAGCCGTTCCTGAGATGCTCAGAATGGTTTTTGGTGGCTGGAACACAGGAAACATGAACTAACAGTCAAACCACAACTGCTCTGTTTTCCCAATTAGTCAGGCTAAAAATGGAAATGTAGAAAGGTGCATAGATCACTCTCTGAACAAAACTACTCAGAAACTACACTAATATCTCCATGTACAACTGTGTTCTTCGGGTTCTAAAGCAAAACGTTCCTCAGCCACAGAACTGGAAATTTGATTGCCTTAAGGTTTGCAGAGAAAGTACTAGAATGCCAAGTGATACAAATGACCCAGCAAATAGACTGTGGTGGAAAACCATGCTGAGTAGAAACACAGAAGAAACACAACTTCCTCTCCTAAAGATCAGTAGTTCTGCAGAAATGAAAAAGTAAAAGGAAGAAACACTTTGCCATTTTTTTTTTTAATATATTGCTTATTATGCTCCTCTTTTTATGCAGCTGCTTCTCAGAGCTCCTTTTTTAAAGCTACTTTCACACTGTGCATTAAAAAAAAAATGTTTCATTCAACATTTGAAAAACAAGAGAGGTAATGATGCATAAAATTTGTTTTAATATTTTCCTTTTAAATCATTGAAACCTATTTACAAGTTTAAAATGTCTTTTCTTTGCTAAACTGTGCAGGACTAGAACAACACAAGAAATATAAAACCAAATAAGTGTAACTAAAACAGTTGAAAATTCAAAATTATGTACTATAAAGCAAGGTCCTAATCCGGAAATATGCTAGTACTTAGGCACAATATTGTATTAAGAACTGAAGTAGAGATTCGCAGACAAGCAAAGTAGTTCAAATACCTTCAGCCTCCAATTATCTCCTACTTCTGTTTTGATTCTGTTCAGCCAATTTTCATCAAAGTAAGCCGGGTCTCTGAAACACAAAGAGTGTAGAGTATTCATTAAAAACAGGTTAGAGAAACTGTAAGTACACCTCAGTCATTAAGCCCCGATCTCAGGCTTCAGGTCATTTAAATGACTACCTCTTCTGTCTGACACGTTGCCTGAATATAGTAGCTCAGAATCCTGTTACTACTCATTTCTCTAAGGCCTTGCACCCTGTTGATGGCATAGCTTCATTTGTGTGCCATGGGCAATTAATGCTTTTGACAAAGCTGCTGTACCTGGAACGAATTATGCCACTTTTTCCTCCATAAATCCGACCTCTAATTTCTCCTCTAGTGCTGGAGCAATATTTAGTTGCACTCCTGGAAAGTGTTAAAAATAAATACTTTTCCACATATTATGGATCCCTACTGCTGTACACTGCTTACAACTACTCAACTTTTAAATGAAAAGCTTGAGATTGAACAATACATATGCTGTCTTTATACAGTGAGAAGAGTTAAAGGAGTAGGTCAATATAAGGAATGGTTCATATTTCATCCAACATATAAAGTTAATACAGTTCAGAGTGAAAAAAAAAGCCCACCTTTTCTATTTTTTTTTATTAGCAAAAGGCTCTTAAGAGTCAGTGTGGTAGGCCAGGTGACACTTCCACACAAAATATTCTATTTTCTGGACTTATACTGCTGCATTTTCCACTGAGTACTATTAGATTTACTGCTGTACCCACTACAGATAGAAGGGTTCTGGACTGAGCTCTTTTTTTAGGGGTAAGATGCTGTGAGATCTCTTGGCAAAAGTTCAAGAAAACTCTGAACATGCCTGGAGAGTGAAATAACATTCATATCATATATACTGTAAATCAGCAATTACACCAGTACTTTATTAGGGCACAGACTTTGTACCTGATGCACAGCATCTCCTGTATTCCATCCTTCCCACAATGTCTTCACGATGCACCAAGGTCTGCAAGCAGTACTACATTTACAATACACAGCAATGGAGAAAGATCACAGAAAGCAATGTTTCTCTACTGATACATTCCCATTGCTATTTTTACACATTTTGTTACAGATCTTCTGGTGAAGATTACAACATATTTCCTTTCCTTTAATATGGCATCAGCAAACATATATCTGGAAGAACAGCTTTAATTACTAGTTAAATTGATGACTCCAAATTATTTCCATTCTAAAACAGTACAGTTCTAGCACAGGTGACATAATCAAAACTATTAAATAGAAAAAGCAATGTCTTATCCAGAGTTTCACCTGGTTTTGAAATAAATGTTTTCAAATAGCTTTCAATGGCTTCTCTGTCATGAGAAGACAAGTAAAGCTAAAAATAAAATTGATTCAAATACATGTAAGATCTACAACATATGAAGAAGGCTCACATTCAGCTTTCACATGAACCAATTAGCTCTCCTTGCAAAAAGTCTCAAAAAGTCTTAATTTGCCTAACTTCTATTCAATCACAACAAAATCATCTGTACAGTAATGAAAAAACATGCAAGTTCAAGCCCCATTTTAGGTGTGGAGTTCAAAAACCATCCCAGTATCGGGTCTTCTGGGAATTCACAACACACAAAGTAAGCCTGGCTTAACAACAGACTCACAACTACAAAATGTTCATGTGGCTGAGAAAGCAAGTATGACTAATTACCTGTACTTCACCAGCAAAAAAGATCAACAGGACTTTCTTAAGGATTGTATCTTATAATTTTAAAGGTTGCACTTGATCATTTACATCTTCAGCTACTTCAAGGTTGCAGTGTCATGAAAATTGACTTACCATTTTCATGGCAAATAATGACTCTAAGAAGCAACATGGCTAACCATAAACAATGTTTCTCACAAGGAAAATTATATTTGGACTGACTGGACAGCTGATATTGCATACCCAGTTTGCAACAATAAGAGCATCAATAACAGCATCAGCTGAGGAAGAGTAACAAAATTCCAGGGTTAGGTCTAACTCACTCCACTCAGGAAGCTTCAGGAAAAGAAAACAGGCAGCTTTTCTCAGTTACTACTGTAAAAATAACACATGGATCAGCAACCACCTTTTACAGTCTTGATGAGAGTCATAGGCTACCTAAACCTTTATATATGTCATCAGACATAAGTAAGGAAAGTCCCTGAGAACTAAATCTAAGCTCAGTGTGGCAGTTCTCTTCCACAGATCCTATTGGTTTTTTTACTTTTATGTATACAAATCTCATGGAAGCATCCAAGGGTCCAGCAGCTCACAGGCAACCCATTTAAAATCATGCCCATATAACAGTGGTCAAAATAGTACCAACAACTGCCCTTAGAGAACCTTCATACAGGTTACACAATAATTAGTTGCATACTGGAAAAACACTTTGCCAGGAATACAATAAGCAGATAAGCAACAGGTTGGATATCAACACCAAGAAAATACAGAGATCACCCTTTCCTTAAAATAAATCACCTGCCCTTATAATTTCATTTCTGTCTTCAAAAGTCCAATTAAAGTTCATGATTAATACCAACAGAAATGCTTTCTCTATATATCAAACTATTGGAAATCAAATCTGAAATAGAAACTATTCCACAAGGATTTCTACACATACTTCTTAAAAGGGGCTTCTAGACGTTAGGTCATTCACAGTCCTTGCTGCAAACAAATCTTCCTCTGCTAAATTTTAGGGAATCAGGATTCGATCATATTCAGAATTTTTTAACTGCCTTAGTCTGTGTCATTAGAAAACAACAGTGCCATTCTTATGGTGTTTGATAAAGCATCACCTAAGGAAACACAAAAAATGTGTGCTGAGAACTGTGCAGCTAAACCTGCCATCTCATTTTGAAGAACCGCTGCACTAAAAAAGGGCAGTGGATGGAACATCATCATTACCAGGAGACAACTCGTTCATGAACCAAGTATTTTGAATTCAATAAGTTTCTGAGCCTAGATCCAAACTCAGACCACCTCTCGCACTGGATAACTTTTCAGGTTTAGAAAGGTATTTGTGTATCAGTTGATTGCTGCCTAGTATCTGAATAGTACTGTAGATAATTGGGACTTTTCTTCAGAGCACTGTTGATAATGCTTTATCACTTCATGTGATGTTTTCAGCAGTCCTCATTTATACCATCTCCATCTTATTTTGTATGCAAATTTTCCTTTATTTAAGCAGTCATCTCTCCATATCACAGATGCCAAGAGACAGAAATACTCTTCTGAAGAAAACCAACCCACAGAGCATGTAGTATAACTCATGATTATTACTCATTTTGACAGTGGTACAGTAAACTGCTTCAAGAAACGTCTGTTTACAAAAAATTCCCTCCCCCAGCAACAATATATTAGCATGGCTTTTGTGTTCTGCATGTGTCAAAACATACACAGTGTGCTGCAATGTATAATATATCGAATGAATAATTCATTAAGAGGACACGATGCACATCTCCTACATTTACCAAGGCCAGTATGACACAGGAAGGAAGAATCAAAACAAGAGGGACACCTGGTACTAAACAGTCTCCAGAGCGAGATGAAAGGAAAATTTTAAAACATAGTATAAAACAGGAAATTATGCTGTTCTAGGGATACTAGTGGACAGTAAAAACAAAAGGAACATCTGAGAAGGCTAAAAAAAAAAAAAAAAAAAAAAGAAAGAAAATAAGGATGCAACTCAGAAGCAAGCTATGGCACTTCTACCAGCATAAGCTACATGATTTTAGGAACACAGTCTACTCATAGACAGTTTAAACATGTTTTCCTTCCAATCCTTCTCCTGGAATACAACAACACTCTGTAAAATAATCATCAACACTGATTATGTACAGGCATCTTATCTTACTGTATTTCATACCACTGCTAGTCAGGACCAATAACCTTCACATCTGAAAACAAACAAACAGTGAATCTTGCATAATAACACAAAAAAAAGTAAGCTAAAGCTTAGGCTGATTTTCCTCCTCCAAGACAATATAGTCAGCACTGGAGAATTTCATTCAACTGTACTTTAACCTGAAATTTGAAGATAAAGGTTTATGCTATAAAGAAAATGTCCCTCAGGGATTTACCAATAACTTTATTAACAACTGAGACTGTAAGCAAAATGCTCATGCTTGGTTACACAGAACACACTTCTGCCATTTTCTACCACATACTATGTCAGAAGTGAAAAGCTTCTGAAGGTGTTAGTAATTTCCACTGCAATCTTTTCTTCCTTTCTTGCAGCAGCTTTGTTACAAAGAATTCTGATATATTTGTTGTGATTGATTGGCCCTTACCTACAAATGGGCTGCTACTTTGAATGCAAAAAATATTGAGAACTATGTACAAAAGAATTCAGAACAATGAAAGAAGCTTTTGGCCCCTTCTGAACACTTGGCACAAGGCACAGCTAGTTTTTATCAGCTGATGAATAAGCAGTGTTCCTCCTTTTTAATTTTACTGACAATAAATCCTACAGTTCTTTATTGTGCACATTTTCTCTATGTCTAAAACAACAAATTCCCCAAACTAGGGATCTCTCAAAAACTGTTCCTTACGATAAACTACTACCTCCTCTCCTCATAAGTACCAGTGAACTCTTCCTATTCAGGTAGAGGTTAAAAAAACCAGAAATAATATGGTTCACTTTCAAACTTTTAGGTTTTCCGGAACAAACGTTATCCTCATTCTCCTATGGAAATACATCCAGATCACTGGACCACACCAATATCTTTAAATTTTCATCACTGCTCTTCCTCACTTAATTTGATTTCTTCATTGACAATATTTTCTTCATTCCTAATGAATTTTTTTCTTTTTTTTTCTTAAATTCTCACTGGATATATTAATCTGCTATTTCAGCCTTTACCTAATTAACCTCTTAGTACTAGTAGGCTCAAAGAACATGTACTAATAAAGAGACTCAAATAGGAGGCAGCTATACTGAAAAACACCCAATTCCCAAGGAACATGAATTACAAAAACAGTACTTCACCCTTCTCAGTGGAATAAGAGTAACAGTACTTCACTTTTGTGTCTGCATCCAAGACAATAAACTTGCCCTTTGAAGATTACCTTTTTGACAGATTTTCATGTGAAAGACAAGTGTTCAAGTTTTCACTGCAAATGACACGTTTGCAGTGACCTGGTGCTTTCAGGCTGTGCTTATTCTTTGCTATTTAATGTCACTGCATGACTTTTCCAAATAACCTTAAGTCTTGCTCTTACACATTTCTCTACCTGCCAGTGCTGCTTACATAAAAAGAAGGGTAGACTGCAAAAGCCTGCTCTAGACTTGCTTCAAATTGTTGAACATTCCCTAATTCCCTAAATATTCTTCCTATGGTATCTTTTCAAAGGACCATAAAAAGGATTTCACCCGGTAGGGTTGAATTTGTTTTTGTTTTCAAGAAAGAATACTTTCAATGGCTTTGTCAACACAGTCCTGATCAGTTTTCTATTCAGCTATACAAATGCTGATCCCTGTATTTGACCTATATTCCAATCTCTCACATCCAGGGAAACAGACAATGTTTGGCTATTCTGCAACCCTACTCCAAAAATCAATTAGACTAATCTTCTGTTACACTTCTTATTATACACTGTTTATCTTCTACTTTTCTGTTAAAAAAAAAAAAGGCAGCAATAATACTTTCCCCAAAGATTGTTCATATGTTAACATACAGACTGGGGAATGAGATGCTGGAAAGCAGTGCCATGGAAAGGGCCCTGGGGGTCCTGGTCGATGGCAAGTTGAATCTGAGTCAGCAGTGCCCTGGCAGCCAGGAGGGCCAACCCTGTCCTGGGGCATCAGGCAAAGCATCGCCAGCCGGTCGAGGGAGGGGATTGTCCCACTCTGCTCTGACCTGGGGCAGCCTCACCCCCGATATTGGTGCAGTTTGGGCACCACAATTCAAGAAGGATATGAAGCTGTTAGAGAGTGTCCAAAGGAGGGCAGTGAAGATGGTGAAGGGCCTTGAGGGGAAGCCGTGTGAGGAGCAGCTGAGGGCACGTGGTCTGTTCAGCCTGGAGAAGAGGAGACTGAGGGGAGAGCTCATTGCAGTTACAACTTCCTTGTGAGGGGAAGAGGAGGGGCAGGCACTGATCTCTGCTCTGTGGTGACCAGTGACAGAACCTGAGGGAATGGCCTGAAGTTGTTCAGGGGAGGTTTAGGTTGGATATTAGAAAAAGGTTCTTCCCCCAGAGGGTGGTTGGGCACTGAACAGGCTCACCAGGGCAGTGGTCACAGCACAAAGCCTATCTGAGTTCAAGAAGCATTTGGCACATGGTGTGACTCGTGGGGTATCCTTTTGGGCCAGAAGTTGGACTCGATGATCTCTGTGAGTTCCTTCCAACTCACCATATTCTGTTATTCCTATTGTAAATCCGAGATCAGATTGCTGCTGCTCTTCAAAGTTTATCTCAAAAAGAACTAAGTCAAGATGTAGCAATATTGTTGCTAAATTGCTGCATGAGATTCTCTGCATCCATTACACAAGTAAGCAAAATGTTAAATCTGAAACACAACTATCAGAAAGTAAGATAGTCAAACACTAATTTTGTCAGGTTCAAATTATTACCTAAGGCATAAAGAAAGAATTATAAATTGTTTAGGTGATCTTTACTATGTAAACTGGACAAAGTAAAGAATTTCTGTGTTCAGTGGCAGTACCGCAGTTGTTACAGAAAATATTTTAAAATCATGCTACAGAAATGCAATATTTGAATTTTACATGTGTTTTTGAAACATCACTTCATCAGTTGAAAACACTATCTCAGAACCACATGCTAAAAAGTGTTGCTTTGAAATATTTGACTACGTGGAGACTTCCCCTTGTCCCCCTTTTATTCTTCCTGTGAACTTCTCTCACTAGCAGTCAGGCTCCTGCTCCTGAGGATCTGAACCTACAGAACAGATTCAGTGTCCTCACAGCAGTTACGGTGCCAGGAGCTCTGTCAAACAAACCATCTGTGTTCACCAAACCTGAGCCATGCTGCAACACAAGAGGGGAGTGGCAAGTGTTAGCACAATGGAGGACCCTGATCTTCTGACTAACACCATCCAAGAAGGGTTGCTGCTTGCTAGGGGTTTGAATTCCTGGCATTGTTGAAAGACTGCCAAAGCTTGTCCAGCCCTTAACACAATTACTCTTCCTGCTCTTCCACCTTGGCACAAGCTGTACAGCTAGGGAAACCTGGAAAGTACAGTGTGATTATGTGGCTTTGGAAGCTATGGCAAAGGCTCAACTGATGTCCTTCCCAGCTGCATCAGTTAGTGAGAAGGTTCTGAGGAACAGACAGATCCTGCAGGTCAACAACCAGCTGTGAACTGGTTTTGGCAAGGTTTTAGTTTCGATGGCCACTGAACCCTTTTGAGAATCAAGGACTGCTTTGAAGAGATGGGATCCACTTGACTGTGGTGGGCAAATGCATCTTCACCAACAGGCTGGCCAACCTGGTTAGACCAGTTTTGTAGAAGGAAAAATAGAGAAAGAAACATTTACTGACAAAGTAGTGGACTCTGCTGAAAAACAAAGAATGTGGGACAATGTGAACAAGAGATACCTCACAGTCAACAAAACAGGGCTGGGTGAAGAGGGATCACTCCAAGCATAGGCACATAAAGGAGGAAAGGCCTACAGAAAAAAACTCCAGGGAAAGCTTCATTCTTGGGACTCAGCAAGACTGGATGCATATGTGGAGTGTTTGTGCACTAATCCATGCAGCATGGAGAACAAATGGGAAGAAACAGAGTTCTGCATGTAGTTACAAGGCCACAGTCTCACTGGGATCACGAATACATGGTAGGATGGCTCCCATGACAAGGCTGCTGCCACGAATGCATACAGGCTCTTCAGGAAGAACAAGCTGAGAAGGCAGTGACAAGGGAGATGCCCTTCATGCGAGAGACCAGTGGGAATGCATGAGCTCTCTCTTCGGATGGATATGAGCCAGCTAAGAAATTATGGGTCAGGATGACCAAGCAGACCAAGATAAGTGACATTGTTACATATTCCTGCTACAGATTGCCTGAGCAGGATAATATCATCCTGGACAAACTGATGAAGCACAACTTGGGTAAGTGGATAGCAAGGTGGGCTGAAAAATGGTTGAAATGCCAGGCTCAAAGGTTTATGAGCAGAAGCATGGAGCCCAGGCCATTAGCAGCCTACCCAAGGGGCCGATACTGTTAAATGTTTTTAATAGGGACCCAGATGATGGAACAGAGGGAAATTTGTCATACAATATAAAAACGGAAGGAGTGTTTGATACACCTAATAGTTGTGCTGCCATTTAGGAGGAATGTGACGAGCTGGAAAAACAGGCTGACAGGAACCTTACACATTTCACAAAGGTACATGCAAATAAACACCATACACCAGTATATGCTGGGGGCCAACTGGCTGGAAAGCAGCTTTGCAAACAAGAAGCTGGATAGAAACCAAGCTGAACACACTCCAGCAACATGTCCTTGTAGCAAACAAGGCCAATGACAACCTGGGTTGTGTTGGGAAGATCATTGGCAGCAGGCCAAGGGAGGCACTACTCAGATCTGGTAAGACTACATCTGAAATGCTGCATCCTGGGTTCTCCAGTATGATAGGGACCTGGACATACCAGGAAGTTCAGCAAAGGCCAAATAAGATGATTAACAGACTGCAGGATCTGCCATACGAGGTGAGACTGAGTGAGCTGTTCTGTTTTTTTAGCCTCAAGAAGAGAAGGCTCAGTGGGATCTTACCAATCCTGTGTATAAATAGCCTGATGGTTCCTTCTTTATACCCTCACATAATCTCAGTGGTGTCCAGTGAACAGGCAAGAGGTAGTGGAAACAAACTGAAAGACAAGTACTTCCAACTGTGCACCACTAAACTGACAGTTCCATTCAGTTTATCACAGAAGTTTTATTGCATAAAACTAATTCTAACGTTACTGACTGAAGTTTCAAGCAATGATCAGGGCCAGCTACCTTATCTTGCACTGGTTTCAACTTTAAGTGTGAATCTGTAAGTTTAGTTTTAACCCAACTTACTTTTCACTAAGTTCACCTTGAATAAACACCTCCCTAAAACAAAACTTTTCTTTTTCATTTAAGCTAGTTATCTGAAAACTACAGAGAAAAATCATATTAGTCATGTTCCAGTTTAAAGTACCATCTAAGCATAGGACCCACATCCTTATGGAAACCAGCCAAGACTGAACTAAAACACATGTAAATACAGAAAAATGTACAAATAATAAAACTTCGTTCGTTAAGTAAACAATTCCTTACATTTTTTGAAGAACCTGGGCCATCACAACCCCACTCGTTAAATCTTCCACGGTCTGGCATGGTGCCTCAACATTAAACGTCTGGATCTGTGGTAAAAAGGAAAAGGTTATCTTCTTTTACTTGAATGTCAAAGAATTTTCAGAAGTTTAAAAAAATGCTACCAGTAGCAAACAGAACAGATTAAACTCCACGAACGCATTTAGTGTACATGTTAGGTTTAAAAAGCTTTATATTTAATAGCAATCAAAGAAAAGAACAGGGCTTAGCATCCTTGTTTTCACAATAAACTTCGTTATAAATAACTGTAGTACATTCTCCAAAAGACTAATTTTCCACCACATTTTCTACTTTGAAAAGTCACCGGACCATGAAAGTACTTCCAGAGCATACATTCAAAAAAACCCACTCTCTCAATTAACATACGTAAGAAACTCGGTTTTTAGAAGTAACACTGATCACACAAATTGTTCATCAGCTCTCCACAACCAGAAGATCAAACGCAGAGTGACATATTCCAAACTTAATTATTCCCTACTATCAGATGGAAGAGGAGAACCAAGTGCTGCTACACCTTAATGGGTCTATGCACCACTAGTGTTCTAAATACTTCAGGGTGTTTTATCAACACAGTGACAGGCACTACAGTCCACAAAGCAAAGCTCTTTTCTTCCTTCCTCTCTTGGTGAGAAGAGTCTATCTACTTCAGCACAACCTTTTTAACTGGTCTACATTATTCTGAATGAACATTAATTTTAAATGATGCGGATGAGTTCTGTGAAAATAATGTTGATGACGTTATTTGGAGGGTATCTGCCTAATGCTCTCTGCTACTATCCTTCTCCTAGGAGAAGCCTGGGTTTATTTGTAGAAAGGATGCTCATGTGCATCACAGATAAGACATGCTACAAGAGCTCTTACAGCTTCAGAGTACATAAATGTTAGATACATCAACCAATTTTTTTCTGAACATAATGTACAACCATTCCTGTTTTAGTGGCATTTGAAACAGTAATACTGGTCAGAGTCATTTCCCAATAAATACCCTTTATGTATGTGTCTCACAATAAAAGACAGCTCATGTAACAGTGGAAAATTTTGCAGTTCCTTCTCTGAAGAGAAGACCCTCAAAAAAATCAAGGGCACAATAGTCAGATTCTCACAATACCTTCTGAACGTCATGTTAGCATGCCAGCAATGCCACTTAATATTTATTTGGAGAACAGGCACCTAGGTTCTTTTCTTTTCTTTACTCTGGAAGAAAAAAACCTAGCATTCAATTAGGAAAAAATACAGCAATGATATCCATGAAAAGCCAAAAAAACCGAGTCCCCAGAGTATGTTTGCTGATCAAGTTCAACTGTGACCAATGAATAGTCACAAATGATGTCCATGTTCCAAAAGCACAAGGATTCACATGCCATTGAGAATACTAATGTTTTTCATAGTTAGATGACAAAGAACAGAAAGAAAGGCTGAAACTAACATGACTTGTTTCTTCACATACACTTAAACTTTGTAATAAGTATTTTATTTGCTTGTATATTTCAATTGTGTCAAATTTATGCTCCAAAACATTTATTCAAATCTTTAAAAAAGAACTATATCCTTTTCATATCCTTCAGAGATTATCCTTCAGAGATATGAAAGTAACAAATTCTCTTCAAAAACTCTTCCATAAAACATCTTTACAAATTTATGTCAAAGTTAAACTCCTATACCATTCTCAGATAGTTCTACAGTATCCTAAAGTGCTCTAAGAAACAGCAGAGTTCATTTTCTAGAAGGGACAAAATGATAAGAATGTAGCAGTGCAGAAGCAGAGTCCAACTATGCAGACAAATAAGCAAATTTTTGTGTGCATGTGGGTGTAAGTCCCTCTAAACAGCTATTCAGTAACACCTGTTAAAACAGTGCTCTTCCTCTGCATTGTGATTTGTTTCCTTCTGGGAGACTTCTCTCTCTTCCTGCTGGAACTGCTCCTCTGCTTCTAATTCCTGAGTGCTTGCAATACGGTCCCCATCGTTAGTTCCACAAAGCTGTCAATTAATTCCCATTCCCTGACAGGATTCTCGGATATTTTTCCCCAGTATCGCTACATGGAGCCCTGACATCACATGTGTGGGCCCACATGAACCTCATGAGGTTCAACAAGGCCATGTGCACGGTGATGCAGCTGGGTCAGGGCAACCCCTGTTATCAGCACAGGCTGGGGGATGCATGGATCAAGAGTAGCCCTGCAGAGAAGGACTTGGGGATGCTGGTGGGTGAGAGGCTGGACATGACCCAGCAACACGCCAACCATATCCTGGTTGGCTCATCAAAAGAACTCTGACCAGCAGTGATTCTCCCCCTCTAGTCTACTCTCATAAAACCTCACCACCCTTAGCACAAGAAAGACATGGACCTGTTGGAGCAGGTCCTAGGAGAGCGACAAAAATGCTCAGAGGACTTTCCTCCTACGAGGAAAGAGTCAGGATTGTTCAGCCTGGAGTGGAGAAGGCTCCAGGGATCCCTCACTGTGGCCTTTCAGTACTTAAAGGAAAGGTGGGGACAGACTTTTTAATAGAGCCTGTAGAGACAGGACAAGGGATAATGGTTTTAAACTGAAAGAGCATAGACCCAGGCTAGATATAAGGAAGAATTATTTTATGATGAGGGTAGTGAAACACTAAAGCAGGTTGCTCAGAGAGACGGTAGATGACCCTTCCCTGGTAAGGTTGGACTGGGCTCTGAGCAACCTGATCTAGTTCATTAGGTCCCTACTCAAGGCAAGGGGGATTGGACTATTTGACTTTTAAAGGTCCCCTACAACACAAACCATTCTATGATTCTATAAGAAAAGACTTGGAAAAAAAAAGGGAGGAAAAAAGCCCAACCACTTGGCTCAGTCACTACCTCTAATAGGCCTTCACACCTTTTCATCAACTAAGGATTCTTTTAGTTAATTTTATTAGATATTAATCCAGATCTCTGATCCACATAGACACAAACTTGAGCATTTTTATATAAACCTTAAAAGAAGGAGTAGCAAGTAACTCTTTGAATGCAAAGGTAGTTATCACCGGGGACTAAATAATTGCTTCAGGAAGAGACAATACCTTAGAAAAATCTGAGTTACAGTTCCCAATTACATATATGACTAGTAAGGATTTGTTATCTACTAAGGATAGGATGCAAAAATGTATTCCATGAAAAATGCTTTTGATATGAAGGTCAGACAACCAGACAAACACTCAGTTGTCAGACAGTAGGAGAAAACCGGGATAAAACTTGTGATGGGGAATCCAGCATTCCCTGTAACTTGAGAGGAAGAAAAAGAAAAAGTAAAAAACAAACAAACAAAGCAACCCCCTTCTACATCAAAGAAAAACAAAAATTCTCCTTTCCCTTCTCATCACTAAGAGATAACGAAAGACCTGCTCTTTGCACAGTGATTATATACACAGTTTGGTTTTTATTACTGATGCAGTTGCATAATAAACCTTTTAAGTATTCTTTTGAAATAACACCTGGAATCATTTTTAGTGGTTCTTAGCAGATAAAACACTGTGTGACTGGTTACCTTATGCACAAACACAACAAATGGTAACACCCAGTTTCCATTTAGTTATTTATCAGAGTGGTGGTGGGTTTTTTTCCAATTATTAAATTGTTCTTATATAAATCTGCAAGGCTTACCTTTTCTTTCCAATTCTCCTCCCAACTGGCCCAGGAGCAGGGGGGGAATAAGAGAGCACCCATGTGATACTTAATTGCCAGCCAGGGTTAAACCATGTCAATGACAGTTTAGAATTATTTATCCACTATTTTCCTATGGTTTTGGAACTGACTATGCAAGCTTAGAGCTAGCTGCCAGGTAGAGCCTAGAACAATACCCTGTCACCACAGAAGATACAGATCACACAGATAAGACAGGGAGAAGTGGGTGTGAAAGGAGACAAGAAAGGAACCAGCCTCACTGGGTTGGATGCATAACGCTACTCAGACCATTAGCGAGAACACTTGAAAGAGCAAACTGGCAGAGAAGATAAAGGAGGGTTGGATACTTCTGTCCTTGTACAGTCACCCCATATTACCTACAAGATCTGCAACAATCTCACTAAAACAATTTTTACTCAGCTTCAATACCTGGAGGAAACCAGAACATAAGTTCTTTCCACAATGGCAAGCTAATTATGTTCTTCACACACAGTTGTCCTTCAGATGCTGAATTCTTGTATTAAGACACACCTTTCAAATGAGAATTTGACACCTATCCTATAACCAGATCCCGAGCTTCTAGATAACTTTAATCTTTCTTCACCCATTTTTCTCCTCATAGTTGGTAGCACTTCTATCTTCTGCTTGGATAGTCACGGCATAAGATATTTTTTCATGCTTTCCAAGACAACAGCAGACTGCATGAGACAAACAATGGGGAAACAGATTTCTAATAAGCAACAGTTTTATTCCAGGATTTGAATTTCTGGATGTTTCCACTGATTTTTAGGTTTTCAGACTTCTATTATTAAAACCTCAAGAGATACTCTGCAATCCAGCTGTAACGGTAGGCACTCAATTAGCCAAGCAATGAAATGGCAAGGTTATTACATTACTGGCCAGGCAGGGGATACTTTTGGGGGAAGGACTTGAATGTTAATTTTTTATTAATTTCCTTCTTTTTATGTATACTGTGTTTAACCCCAAATATCTAAACTGGTAAAACCCATGAAAGACCTCAATCAAAACACTTCATTCTAAGTGCAAATTTTTAAAAGATTAAATATTTCCCTTGCAGAAACACAGTGCAGAAAGCAGAAGATATACCTTAACTAAAGGTTACTTACTAAAGGACTTGAGAGATGAGAGAGCAATGACAGCATAAGCCAGTTGCTACTGCACTATCTTGGCATTGCCACTAAATTGCTGCTAACTGGAGTGTTCAAGTATGACAAATTATTACGATACAATGAACAGAGTCTCAAGTCTGAACGGTGTTCGGTTTAACCGTTTCAGAAACATTCATGAGAAGACAAGCTAACCTACCAACTCCTGGGGTGAAAACGAATATATTCCTGTTTTCAGTTGAGAGCCAGAGGAGCCAGCT